CGGTATGTTTTCCTGCTTCGTTACTCCTATTGAACTCTATTTCCTAGTGGCCGGGAGCATGTTTGCTCTTTCGACACGGCTCTCGGCCCCAGAGTGAAGCGTATACTAATTTATTGCATAGATTTAGAGATGGGCAAAGACATGCATATGCATCCCTCCCCAGATATGCATGCCTCGTCTTCTTCAGAAAACATGCATCCCTCCTCGGATATGCATGCCTCATCTTCTTCAGAAAACATGCATCCCTCTTCGGACATGCATGCCTCTTCAGAAAGCATGCACCCCTCTCCAGAAAACATGCATCCGGATCTTACTCGCGAGACCTAGAGCTTCGGCCGGAGAGAAACAGCGAATGCCAAGAAATCTGTGTGAAAGATTCGTTAGGAGAGGTTGAAGACTGGGAACGGGGTTTTGGCGTCCATCTTGGTGGTGGTGTTGTGGTTTGCTTTTGATTTTGAAAGTGTTGATAAGCGATGAAGTGGGCGTAAGTTCGGCTATATTCGTGGAGGAAGCCAGAAGACTTCGTAGGAATGAAATTTGAAGAATATTCCTGTTTTGGATGCAGATAATGTGAAGAGTGATATGTTCTGTCGAGCCGTATCCGTTGTAACTCCAGAATTCCCTGGACTAGTTTATTGTAGTGTAGACTCTCAAGTGGTGAAGATAACGGAGCAATCTCGCATGTCTATCGGCTGAGTCAACTGCTAAGAAGTCCATCATAGGACTGCAAAAAGAATCGCCGTCCCTGATCGGAGTTGCTTTCTCGCCCCACGTGTCCGTCACCTCCTAAGACGCTTCCCCTATTCCGCCAAGCGAGACAAACTGATATTTATGCACTTGCAGCGCTAATCGGTGGAAGTTTGCAAATAGAACTCCCGTCAAATAATGACACGGTTCAGTTTCTCTCTCATTTTAGGTAAGAATGGAAAGCACAAGCAAACTGATTGGGGGAACATTTGTGTATGCAGTCCATGTGACGTACCCCTTTTTCTCGCTTATCGCGTATAGTGTGAGGATCCGAGAATGCGTACTTGTATAGGTAATGATTTAGTTTAAGCAAGTAGAACATTGAGTCCTAGATTTCGCATTGCTACCATCCAGTCAACATTCCCATCTGCCAAATTCTCATCATCTCGCATGCGCCAGCACTCCTGTATGATTGCGAGGGCATGATTGGAGCTTCCAAATGGGTAGCGGTGTATTTTGGCCTTGGTAGTTATTTCGAGAAACGCCGCCTGTTGATCTTCAGTAGCCATCGAGCCGGCAATACAGAGTGGCCAGGAGAGGCTGCGTATGAGTTCTGGTTGAGGGAGAGCTTTGAAAGCATCAATTGTCTTCGAGACGTTGTCGTGTATCTCGGGCACATCTGGACAATGTCCTGACTCGATGGTATACAGATATATAAGGGTGCTGAATCCAAATAAGCGGGTCACCAGCAACTTTATGTAGCCATCAGGATTCTCGAAAAAATTGTGATGTGACGTAGCTTCTAACCGGGCAGACAGCCTAATCATCTCACTCTTCAGCTTCCTGTCGATTTCTAGGGCTCGTGTTGTGAGCTCTCGAACACTAAGTTGCTTCTTCTCCTTCATCGTGTCTTTCCAATGTGCAAGCTTCATAATCTTCAAGAGTTCGTCAGTGATCCACTCTTCGCAGCCTGTGAATTGGCTCATAGGCATGTGCAAGTTTGAGAGCTCAAAATCTTCGCAGGGTGGGTCGAGCATGTTCCCCGTCGCAGCACAAGATTGGAATTTATACCACACAAAAGCAGTGGAAAAGAACCGATACGCTTCCTTATGCGTGTTCGAGAGGTCCTTCGCGTGGCCTGATTGAAAGGCTTCGTGTGCAAGAGGAAGGAGGTATGTTGCAGCATCTAAATGGATTCGCCAGCTATCACTGCTTCCTTTCAAGACCTATCGGTATATGTGAGCTTGGAAAACGAAAACAACGGGGAAACCCACTAACCTCGAGTGAGATGAGAGTTGCCATACATGCGATAAGGTCAATATATTCAGGCAGCTGCAGATTTGGCCGATTGCTCTCCAGATCTCCCAATCGATCCAGCATTTTGCTCAGCCTGCTCAACGTAAGATTGTGCTCTACCAGTTGATCTTGCAGTTTGCAACAAGTCGGAAAGTCTTTGACATTTTCTATTGTACCATAGTGAAGTTCATACTCTTGAGCGAGCTCTTCAAAGTGCATGTGATATGCAGAAACGCTGCAAGCTGCATGATAGAGTGGCTCTAGTCGCATCAGAAGAGAGAGCAGCCATCCTCGGCTGCCTTTGATTGCACTGTGTTTGAAAAAGGGGAATTGTAATGGGAAGACGTTATCCAGATAGTGCATCAAGAGATCAGCCTCTTCCTCGCGCAATGCTGGCAGTGGCCGACTTGCGTCCTCTTGATCCAAATCACTGGTAGAGGGTGTAGGTAGTTGCAAGCCAGAGCTTCTATTTTCTCCGCTTGAAGTTTCTTCTTGGCCGAGAATCCGGCTTGCACTGTGAGCTTCACTGACAAAAGGAGAGTATCTCTCGTCCAAGTGATGCAAGCTTGGTGCTGAAACAACTTCAAATGCCGGAGTCAGAGGCGTACCATCATTCTCGCTCAAATTAGATATCTGCGGTGATTGAGGTTCATGCTGGCGATATCTAAGTCTGCGCTTGTGGTTGGTGACCTCCTTGACCCTCTGACGCCAGCCTTCGAGTCTCGCTTTCTCAGCAGAACCGCCATCCATCCATGCAGGCTTTGGACCGTAGCCATGACAGTCAATCCCCAGAGACAGACAACCCGCGCATGACGGGCGGGTTTCGTCGCATTTCTTCTTCCGTAATTTGCAGGTCCAACACCCGCCCTTGCTGCGTTCTCGACCCGCCATGAATGATGGTGGTTGCCAAAGAGGAAAATGGGCTGGATTTGAACAATGGGAGTATCGAGAGTGGATCAATCAGCGTTCAGCGGGATTTGCTTTGATTTGTCAGGCGTCATGACTGTGTAAATCCCGCTGCAGTTTCGGCAAGACAGGGGAGTCGGCGGATCGAGATCCAGGAACCCGCGCACCCTCTCCGCGGTTAGGCAAGTGAATCCACCCTCAGACCCCAAGTTGCATCAATTTCTATCTTTCCTTGATCGTATTACGAAAATGTCCACTTGAAGAGAATATCAGCCGCCAGACATGGCGTCTTTGATTTGTAAGTTTTGGCAAGTCTTGGAAATCTTGCATGAAATCATATCCGAATCATGGCCGAATGAATGTACATATACGGCGTTGAAGTTTCCAAACTAAAGAACCATCTTCATCTCACAGCTACAAAACATTGCGTGATATCAAGTCTTACCATCGGATCTTTAACAATTCCATCAAGCAATAAAACCTAAAACTTCTCGAACGATAACGACTTTCAAGTCCTCAACTCCTTTCTATCAAATACAATACCAAACACACAAACAGCTATGCCTTCATACGTTATCGTCGGTGCTTCCCGCGGTCTCGGTGTAAGTAAATCTCTGCTAAAAGTGTATCTACAACATACTAACTCTCACAAAGTACGAATGGCTTAACTCGTTGAGCAAAGACACCTCCAACACAGTCATCGGCATCGTCCGATCCGTCGACAAAGTCCAAGCCAAACTCGACTCCGACTCCATCTCTAACGTCCATCTTTTAGCCGGCGACATGACCGATAGCGCTTCACTCGAATCTGCAGCTCGCCAAGTCTCAAAGATCACGTCAAGCATCGACTACCTCATCGTCAACGGCGCCTACACCACCCTAGCCACCGCTCGATTCAACCCGACTGAATTCACCACGCGCGCCGCCGAGCTCCGAAAAGAGATGATTGAGAGTTTAGATGTCAATGTTCTTGGGGTCGTTTACTCGATTAATGCGTTTATACCGTTAGTCCGTCAAGGCACAGCCAAGAAGATCACTGTCATCTCAACGGGGATGGCAGATACAGAGGCGGTGTTACGAGCAGATATTAATGGGGCTCTGGTCTACTCCTCCATGAAAGCGGCTACCAACATGATCGTTGCAAAATATGCCGTTGAGTTGCGAGACGAAGGGATTGTTGTCTTGGCCCTTAGTCCGGGGGTAATAAATACGCAGGAAGAAGCAGGTAAGCTCGCGTCCCAGTCGGGGTCTTTTTGATTGAGAACTGACAATGTTGATAGTATCCGACGAACAAATGAAGGGCGTAATGGTGCTGATGGGCAAATTGCAAGCCGGTTTTCCGGGCTGGACGGGTCCAGCTCCTGCCGCTGAGAGTATTGCTGCGCAGAAGAAGGTCATTGAGGAGATCACGCTGGAACAAAGCGGCGCTTTCCTCTCTCACAAAGGTAACAAGGAGTGGTTGTGACGTTGTGTAGATCCTGAGAGGACGTGTAATAATTTGGAAAATTATCATAGGATTAATTCATAGATTTCTAGCTTTCAAGTGAACCGTCCAAGTTCGTAAAATGTATTCCCGTAGCGTGAATAGCTGGGTTCTCCTATTTCAGAATTGGTTTTTCAAAAATTACAATGTTGAAAAACAAGGGTCTTTGATACACTTACTTAGGAAATAACCGCTCTTACAATTCGTCGAAACCCAAGAACCTCGTGGTGACAAGGAGAAAGCTCCAGATAGAAGGCAACGAACACTGACATGCCAACGACAGACGAAGAGCCTCTTGTGAACTTACCATAAACTACCTTTCCATGCTGCCTTCTCGAAAGTTGCTCATAGATGTCGACTTGTTTTTCTAGATCAGAAGTGAATAACATCGCTCAAATGACTTTCCAACAGCAGCTAAGACCATACGCCAGTACTTATTTATCGAAATGTTCATTTTCTGAGTCTGTGATCTAACATACTCTACAAGTCTCTGACTTGAATCCCAACGACATACAGAAGTCCCGTGAAAATCCCTTCTACAAGAATCCAGCCCTTAACGCCCGCAAGCCAACAACCGTTAAAACTTTCATTTGCAGCAGCCCAGCTGTACATCGAGCAAACCAACAAAAGAAATAAATCATTGCTCATACACATCACCCATATATACAAAGACCCAGCAAAGCTTTTTCAAAAGGGAAATCGACGAAAAGAAATATGTTCTCATGCGGCCACGGCAAACTTAAAGACGAAGACGGGCAGAGCGACCAGATGGTCGTGCGAATCCTCGAGATGCGGTACCTGAAGCCCGGACCCCGAATTCTTTCAACATTCCAGTGGCGTTGGCGGCCATGGTGTATACGGTGCCTTCGAGGGTGATCTTCGCTCCTGCTGCAAAGGCAAGACCTTGGGTTGGAATTGCGCCTCCAGAAGTGAGAGTTGGTGCGCAAGGACATACTCCTTCCGCGACACCACCCAGGGAGGTTGGGATTGCGGTTGGCAGAGCACCACTGCCGGCTCCAACTGCAGTCTTGGTAACGAGAACAGGTGCGCCCGTGGAGGTGCTGGTAATGGTCGTGAGAATTGCTTCACCGTTGGATGAGATTGTTGAGATCAAGGTCGCGGTTGATACTGGGGTAGTGGTGAGAGTGATGGTGACTACGGCAACCTCAGTGGCTGTTACAACGCTTGTTATGGTAGTTGCAACTCCTCCGATTGTAGTGATAGCGACAGTGGTTGAAAGATCAGCCTCAGAAAGGGACGCTGAGGCTCCGCTGTTCTCAGACACATCTGTTCCTTGTGCAGGGGTGCCAACAACAGCAGTAGCAGTCACGATTGTTGTGATCGTGCTTTCCACTCCAGCGATGGTAGTGATGGCGGTGCTTGTTGACAGATTCGCATTTGAGAGTGATGCTGAGACCCCGCTGTTCTCCTCGACACTTGCTCCAGTTGAAATTGCAGGAAGAGCGGCTGGGCCAGAAGCAGGAACACTCGCACCCGGCGTGGGAGCTACGAGAGTGACGACCGAGGTGATGGTAACGGCGGGAAGAGGTGCGCCATTTGACACTGGGGTCGAAACCGAAATAGCAGTTGAGACAACACCACTTGCGCTAACACTCGAGATGACCGCAGAAGAAACCCCGGATGCGTCAGCGACTGGGCATACGGTCGTGAGGACGGCGATGGTTTTAGTGATCACTGCGCCTATATTGGTGGTACGAGCTGGGCAATCAGTAACTGATGCTGCACAAGAAGTGACGGTAAAAACTTGGGTCGCGATTACAGTGAGAGTGGTAGATGGACCGGCGGGGCCAGAGGTGCTTATACCAGAGTTCCCCGACACTGTAGAATTCAAAAATGGTGGCAGGACTGTTGGAGCAACGCCTGATACAGTTGACACACCAGCGGAGACTATGGAGGAGCTGGAGGTGGCGGCGACAGCTTCGATTGAACTCATATTAGTGGATGGTGTTGACAACGAAGTGGAAACGCTGGTAGATGAAATGGCTGCCGACAAGCTCGTTGCGCTAGCACCAGAGTTACCCGATACAGAGGTACCGGTCAAGTTCAAAGATGAGCCGGCGGAGGCGGTAAGGTTGGCGGAAATAGAGGCTTGCGATGGTACGAGCACTGTTGAAGATATTGTGCTTACTGAAGATTCTAACGAGCTTGCAGTTGTAGCAGCAGATTCAATCGCAGTGACACCTGAAATGCCGCTAGCAATAGCAGAGGCGACAATCGAAGAGCTGACTTCATCAGCCGATGCTACTGGACAAACGGTCTGCAAATATATTAGCACATCTACCGTTAAAGCAAGCTAAGTAAATTGATTCCAAACATACAGTTGTTAGAGCAATTGTCTGAGTTACTACTACTCCAGCAGATGCAGAGTTGCGGGCGGGACAATTAGTCACTTCGGGCTTGCAGCTTGTAATGGTAGATATCTGTGTGGCGAAGACCGTCAGGGTAGTTGAAGGTCCGTCTGGCAAGGCTGTGGCATTGGCGAACGCTCCTGCAGCTGAACTTATATCGAGCGGTCCAGAGACACCTGTAGAAAGAAGGATGGGGGTAGAAATGGTACTGGAGCTACCACTGTCCCCATTAGAGGTTAAATTTACGGAGGTTGCTGTCTTAGTCGCGACGGGAATGACTGAGGATGAATTGGAGAATCGTGCTGTGGAAATTGATGTAGAGATTGAATCGCTTGCCAGAAGTGCTAAATAAGGTTAGCCCCATCTGCCAAAGATGGTATAAGTTAACTTACTGGCTGTTGCAGAGCCGGCGGCGTCTTTCAGTGTAATGAATTTTGGTATCGTACGCGTGACTACTGACTCTGAGGTAACCACCTCATATTCGAAGGAGGTAATGACTGATGCTTGCGGCGCTGCTTGAACAAGACCAATGGTACCGACTATGGCAAGAGCTGCTGAAGAGAATTGTGTAGCCTTCATTTCGAGTGGCGGGATGTGAATAGCAAAGCAAAATATTGGTTGAGTTGCTTATATGAAGACCTTAAAGTCCACGATCAAGGGCTTGACTACTGTAACGGCTGAAATTGAAAAAGGAAGCAGAGAATGAATGAGTGAAGCTAAGGACTGGAAACCCGAAGGCAAGAAATGAATGAAGATGGTGATCGAAAAACTATCTCGAGGATAACTTACCACATCTTATATGTAGAGACCCAAGTTCAGGGCTCGGGGAAACTTGTGACAGCATCGACGAGGTTATCATGCTTGAACCGGAGAGACAGGGAAGTTGAAACGAAGTCATCAACACCATATCAAAACAGCCGAACAAGACCGCAGCTTTCATAGAGCAAGCTGTGGATCGCGATCGCAACACGCGGTAATATGGGGCGGACAGCGACTCTTGATCTATCGACTATGACACAAGCAGTGAGAATAGATTGATTCGTTGCTAGTCTATCAGATTGCTCTAAGGCTACTAGACTAGTCGCGATTTCTGGGCCCGAGACGTGTACCGACGTCTATGATCTTCGAAGCTTGGGTAACCTTAATTTCCGTCAGGACCTGTGGGTGGGAAGATAAATGGACCCGAACCCACATTCTAGAACGAGAATCACTGAAGATCAAACGGATCTTTGGAGAAGAGCTGGTGGATGCCATAGGAGAATATATTGCATAATGCTGGAAATAGCAAGTGTGGGGGAAGACTAGTGGTGAAACAAAGAACGAAGTACAGATCACTCCGCACCCCCGGCCGACCTCGAAAAATATCTCATGTGTGGCTGAGCATACACTTGAAACCGAACATTTGGAAATGTTCTACTATCAATGGAGTGCTCTGCGAAATCGAAAAGGAAAGTGTCAAACAAGTTTTGCGACTGGATGTATAACTTCGAAGAAGCATCCGGTGAGATTTGAAGCCAGGAGTTGACCGCAGCCACTGACCAAGCTCAAACAAAATCGCATGATATCTCAGAGACAAAAGGGCGCCGAGCAGGAGAAATAACCCGTAGACAGAGCTGAGAATTTAGAGCCATCAGGAAACAGGAAACAGAAATCGTGCCAGATTGTCTACCATTTTCTGGAGCAAGCTGAGGAACGTTTAGAGAAGTGAGAGAACGCTAAAGATCAATGAAGCTGAGCCTGAGCAAAACCAAGAAAACGTATCTTTACATCATGTATTGTTCAAGAGCGTGCCAGGAGAGTTGATATGTGATGACTTTCAGATACCCATTGCACTTCAGACGCGCGATCGCTGTCCTTTCGCAGGTGATGCTTCGCACTTGCTGAAAAAGGAGTAACGGTCGAGTGTCCTGCTAGATCAGACGTATTCGCTACGATGTTGCCATATACCTAGGTAATGTTCACACCATTAAATGGCGTGATACCTTCAGAGTTGGCACATCTAGGGTGAAGAATGATACTTGCACATCCGGGCATAAGAACTCCTCCTGTTTCATTCGACAACTCTTGTCGCATTTCAAGTCCTCTTCGCCCGATCGTATTCTTTCGTGTAAATGGTACCAGTGTCAGCGTTGAATCATCCTAGCGTTCTTCGTTTTATTCATAGCGAAAGAGAAGACATCCTTCATAATGACGATGAATCAGTCAACTGAACACGCGGTAAACGAGTTGTTTGCCAAAAATAAGCAGTAGACCCATCTGATCCTCCGCCTGTTTCAAGGAAGACGGAATGACGGCACTTGGGCGATAGAACGGCAGAAGTTGAGATAGGGCTGACCTTGTCAAAGAGTTGAGAAGAGAAGCCAAGAAAGTCTGGCTCTGGAAAGAGATGTCAGGAGAAAAAGGGGCTAGAATGATCCACTTGGAACCCACCAGTTGATCGGGATCGGCCATCGCTCTCCCGCGATCGGCCCGCACGGATGATATCGCTTGGGCTGACGCTAGGGCTAGTCCTCCTCGTCTCTTCGTCTGTTCTACTTCTGACAACCAAGATTGATATTCCAAATAAGATTGAGATCATGATTGTGTTAGTGTTTCATGGAACTATGAGCATACTACATCATGTGGAGTAGTAGTCCGGGCCCCGAATCTTTGCTTTCCGAATGACTTCACCGGCATCAGATGGTTAAGCACACAGTTCACACCAATGGAGTGGAGGATCAAGATTCGAGGGGATCAATATTGCTATCACTCTGATTAATTTACAACACTCCTGGCTATGAGGGCCTGACGTCCTTCTTTGGTTCATTCAGCTTCATTCCCTCCCTCCCATTCAACAAAAGTGACCAGAGGCGTCACCATGACTTGGAGCAAGCTCTTGGAAGCAACAATATTTCAGACTTCTCCGCGGACTTGATTTCTTTATCCTTGGAGGTTCTATTCCAGTATATTACTGCGCTGGTTTCGACAGAGAAAGCCATGGTTTAGGAGCCAAGACTCTGGGGAAGGTTGCAATGAGATGTTGAAGCAATGAAGAGGCAAGCTGAGTAGAAGCCTGCTCAATCCTTTGGAGCGTCACCTCGACGAGGTTTCAACATAACCGGTGCAGTGATTACTGCTAACCATCTTGGCTGTAATCAATGTTGAAAATGGCGGGCTGACGAGTTGAACAAATGCGACTGTAGAGCTGTCAGACTTGTGTAACACTCAACGTTTATGTGCCAAGCGAGTCTTGCCTAAAGTAAGCAGACATCAAGCGGACTTCCTTTTCACGATCTTATTGGTTTTCAGTCGCGTGGAATGCATTCGGGCATCCACGACTTTTTTGGGGCTCGCTTGTGTGTATTGACTTCATCGTGTCAACCTCATGTTTACAAGACCGCCCAAGAAGTTTTCAGCGGCCTACAACAAAGCCATTTTACGCTCATTTAATCGAGGTGAAAGAAGCCCATTGGCAAAGACCAGGATCAACTGCTCTAAGAGCCTAACAATCATCATGTAACGCCGTCAGATAAACATCTTCAGTCACTTTCGGATCAATCATACGTACACAACTTGCTCATTGATGGGTGCATGTTCCAGTCCCGTCAATTTTTTTCCCATCAAGGTAGTATTTGGTCCCCACGACTTAACGGTTGAAGTTATACTTACACAAGACAATCTCAAACGCAAGCCACAGACCTCTACATCTTTCTCCTCTTGACAAACGGAGTAGAGGAGTTCCATCGTAATCCAGAACAGAGAAAAACATCACCAAAGTGGATGAAACTATAGCTTTTACCTCCATGATGGCTGAAGGCATAGACACGCAACCCAATCTCCAACGCAAGCCACCAAGCTCTTGTCCCCCGATTTTGAACGAAACGGTAATCAAAAGATCAGATACGTCGAACCTAACCATTAGTCCATGAAAACAGGACCGAACACAATAACATCTTCAATATGATTACCTACACACATCGAACCCTCATTCTATGCTCCAACGAACATAAATACTCCCTTCTACCTCCACTTCCAAACCCATCACAATCATCATCATCCTCACCATCACTCACTCAATCACTCACCCAAACCAACCAAACCAACCCACACCCAATCAACCCCAACCAAAACTTCAAAATGCACTTCCCAACCCTCCTCACCCTCCTCCCCGCCCTCCCCCTCGCCTTCGCATCCACCCTCCCCACCCTCTCCCCCCGTCAAGCCGCCCCCGTAGCCTGTCTCCCAGGCTCCACCTACTGCGGCTGGTATCTACAAGAAAACCGTAAGCCCCTATTCCAAATGTCCCCTAACTCTCATCCAAAGTTCCCAAACCCAGCATTAGGGAAATATCTATCACTAGGAAAGTATGGCTGATGAAGGTGCAATAGTATTCTGGAACATCGTCCAACGCAACGCTCTCTTCACCTGCCAACCGGGCGGAACGATCGTGGTTGAGAAATCCGTGTGTCGGGTTTGTGAGGGGTGAGTTTTGTGTCTTCTCGTACTCTCCATTCCTCTTTGCGGAGATATTTGTTTTCTGCTCCTGCGTGAGTTATGTGCTAATATGACGGGTGATATAGACCACAGGCTCATTGTGCTTAATTCTTGGGATCGAGGGATGAGATGAAGATGGGAGGAGGGAGGGAGGGAGGGTGGTATGGAAGAAAAGAGGACTTGTGTGAGAAAAAGAAAATGTGTTAGAAGGAATGAATAGGCGAAGGTTGAGAGGTTAGTTTTTTGAAAGAAGGTGGTGAGAGTTTTCGTTTCTTCGGTTGAAGTAGTGAGTGGTGTTATTTTGTTAGGGGGAGGTAAAAATCTAACTGTATACGCTCTTTAACATATGTCTACTTCCTGCGTGATCTCAAACCCTGACCTAACACCTCAGATAGAAGATTATGTATTGCAATAGGAGCCTTCAATAAATTGATCACACCAACATACACCCAAGAAGAACCCCACAAACCCAAGCCAGGACCTTATTTTCAAATGACTGATCAATTACGTGCATTTAAATTATTCGCATTCCCACCCAACCTAAATACTCCCAAACCCAGCCCAGCCCAGCCCCGACCCGACCAACCTCAGCCTGAACAACCAAAAAGCAGAAAGAACTCAAACATCCAAACTCGCTTTTCTTGTCCAAACCGAGTCCCAGACCAAGGCACAAACCTATATACAGGAAAACATGATTACAAGAGCGTTACCAGCAACAAACACAGGTGCCACAAAATATTGTAAATCATCGATAATTAATCACCAAACTCACTTCTCAACTTCCTTTGGCGCATATACAGAATCTTCATTCCCGTAAAGTTCTTGATCACCTTTCCCTCCAAGCTCCATAAATTCCTTGGTCCCTCGATTCTGCGATGGGCTCTCTTCCTGCTTAGGAGCACCAGCTTTGGATTTTGGTGTTCCGCCAGCTCCGGTGACAGGTTTGACACTATCCGTCTTGCCCTTGGTAGGCTTGCCGTTTGGATTTTTAACATAAACTCTGACTGGGGTTTGGTCCGTTTGGGTATCAATGACTTTGCTTATTTTTACATCATTCAAGCTGCTGAGCAGCGTTCGCTCCCTAGCCACTTTTCGCTTACTGAAATCCAGGTTTGCGATTCCTCCGACAAGCCCGTCAGTGCTGTCAGTCGTGTTGATGGGCTTCTGGGTTGTCCAAGGATGCTCAAGGCAGTCGTCAATAGTGTATCGTTTTTCAACATCTACCGTCAACATCCTATCGATGAGATCCAAAGCTGGATCTCCGACTGAGTCCCAGTATGGAGAGGGATAATCGAACCTCCCCATCTTGATTTGCTGGGTCAGGGTGTACGGGTTGTCTCTGGAGTACAATTCGTCCGAGAATGGCGGGAAGCCACAAAGACAAATGTACAAAACTACTCCCAACGACCATACATCGACTGCTCTCGTATACCTCCTATGCCGGCTTTCTTCGAGGATCTCAGGTGCAACGTAACTCGGCGTTCCGCATAGTGTCGTAGTGAAAGACTCTTCTCCGATGATTTTAGCCAACCCAAAATCTGCGACTTTCACGTGTAGATTTTTATCAGTGAGTAAAATATTCTCTGGTTTGATGTCTCGGTGAACAATCCCTCGCTCGTGCTGAAGTATGATTAGCAATGGGCACTACACCAAGACAAATCGACTTACCAAGTATTTCATGCCTTGGAACAATTGGATGAAGACCTTCCGAGTCTCATCCTCAGTCAGCTTCTGTTTCATGACTATCCAGTTGAAAAGCTCTCCTTCAGCAGCAAGTTCCAGTACCAAATACACAGCATTTGACTCGTCGAATGTATCCTTTAAACATAACATGTTCGGATGACTGACACCCATTAAAACCGCAATCTCCTGCTGAAGACCTTCTGTTTTTGATCGTTCCTCTACACCAGGCTGCTTCGTGAACACCTTGACTGCGTAGCGATGGCCGGTAGATTTCTCAACACACAAGAACACTTCTGCAAAGTGCCCTTTTCCAAGCTTCTCTAGGAGGGTGTATTGTTGTAGGAAAGCACTCGTATCACGACTCCTTGGGTATCTGAAGACAAATCTAGCACCATCCTTGACCGTTATCTCGTCCTGATCTTGAAGCTCTCTCCGTTTGTTTCGACCAAGCATTGCTTCGTTGATGAATGTGCCATTACTCGACAAATCTTCGACGACCGCTATTGTATCTCCGCCCTTGTTTTCTGTGAAAAATAGACAGTGTCGGTTGGAAATTATTGGGTCGTCTATAATGAAATCTAGAGGCTTTGTCAGTACCGATATCTGGAAAACAATTCTTTAAGACCATACCGCACTCAGGATGCCGTCCAATCAAGTATCCCCCTGAAGCGATTCCTTTGAACTTCGTATGCTCATAAGCCTCCTCCTCTTGAGTCAGCCTTTCCTTTTCATCCTCTACCTTCTTTTTATTTTTGCTACCGTTTCCAAGCTCATTTGCTCCAGGCATTGGACATGCGTTTCTCTTCTTTAAAACCAACGTCTTTCCATATTGCGGATCAAGTGGATGAAGATAACCCCAAACACCCTCTTCTTGCTCATTCGTCACATCTTCTGAAAAGTTTCCTGGATACACGAATTGGGAAAATGCCTGTGTTGGAAGGTCTTGCGGTGGAGATGAAAGTCCTTCAGGCACATTACTCTCGGTAGGACGATGTTGGATCTGACTCGGTCTGCCTTCAGGCGGTGTGGCGGTTCCATCTTTGAACTGGTCGCTCGACGATAACGAATCTTGGTGGGTTACAGGTGACGGCAGATGCTGCTTCGTCGAAACAGGAGTCGATGCGTCTTTCGCATTGCGTTCGGATCTTCTAGGTTTTTTGGGTTCGTTATAGTCATCTGCTGTTCCGGCCTAGGACATAAGCTTGTCAGCCTGATGAATTGAACTGATTCGCAAGGCACCACGGTCGTTGTTGCGACTTACACGATCCCGTTTCAATTGACTCTTGCCCCCGCGTGGAGCCATTTTTAACACTGTATAGGCAGAAGCTGGACTCGGTAGCTCGGAGAGCTTCGGTTTCGTCAAGCTGTCGCAGCGGCAATGAGATGCGACTTTAAGTTGGCACGAATGATGGGCTCGAAGCGACTCCTGCAAGATTTTCTACAATGTTCGGAGATCAAGGCGTGGTTGATAATCAAAGTGCTTTAGAGTTGGTGTTGCAAAAGGTTCGAGTGCTAGGTAAAGAGCAACGGCCGCAGCAGGCGTATCGGAGCTCAACCTCCCGACCTATGGCTCAGACGAAAGGTTCAGCAGTCCAGATGCAGTTCGGCCAGGTTTTGGTCCAACAACCAATAGTTCTAGTTGTGCGACCCTTGCGAATGGAAAATGCCGTATGCACCAGGAACTTACTGGTCTTCGAGGCAGAATTGAGGAGAGAGAATGTTTGTACAACAATGCGACATCTTTCAAGTTTGGAGGGTCACTCTTATTTACACATGTTTACCAACTTCCCAGTTCATCAACTGACTTTAAACAACCTTGGAAGCCGTCCAAGCTACCCTCGATGGCCGTTTAGCTCTCACTGGACTGTGATCGATACGGTAGGTCATTGAATGGTCGTAGGCGGGTCTAGGGTCTCAACCATTAGGTCCACGCCAAAGCAAAGTCGCGTTTATCTGCAGGACCCCGTGATCTAGACGCGTGACTGAGCCTCAATGAACGTGCAAACACACCGAGAGACATATAGGATATCTCTCAGCTTAGCGGGCACCCAGTGACTGATGAGTTGCTAATCTCGTGAGGCTTATCAACCAAGCTTGTGTCTCAGATCGTAGCTGTACAGTCTACACTCAGTCGTTGACTACCATTGCTGGTGCCGAGGAACATCCCCTCAAGTATCGAATCTGCCTTTTCTCTTCACACCTTGGACCTGGGGTGAATTTGAACGACCTCGATCAGAGTCAAGACCGGCCATGATCCTCTCCGCCGCACTTTTTGGGCCTTTCCCTCCGGGTGTACCACTACGACTCGAAGGCTCCGTCGTGACAGCCGCTGGAACAAAATCTACTGCTCCTCTCTGTCCTCGAAGCCTTTCTTCTTCCTTACGCTTCAGAATTTTCTTCTGACTTTTCGCAAGCTCCTCCTTGAATGCAGTTTCTGGAAATGCCCTAGGATTCCATATCTCTTTTGGTAAAGTTGTAGAATATTGGCCTATCTCGTCAATATCCGAAAAGTCCATAAGCTTTTGCATCAGAGCAGGGTTCTTCATAGCCGCAGACTTCGAGAGTTTCTCGTTGAAATGTATGCCTTTCTTCTTCAGATCGAGGAAATGCTTGAACTTTGCATTCGTGCTTGCGACGGGGGAGCCAGGCGGTGATGGAGGAATATCGTAGCTGGGTAGACTTGGTAGGGTTAAGTCTCTTAAAAGAGCTCTATTCGCCGAGTAAGGCGACTGGGGCGGTCCGCTAATTCCATCTTCTTCTTCTTGAAGCCCATTCATCTCCGCATCCATCGTTGGTATACTTGGCCCTTGAATTGGACCGACTACGGGCGCATCGTCGGCAGGGACTGAATCTTGATGTGGATTCGTCGCATCGTCAACCACTTTCTTTTCGGGGTTTAAGGATCCATTTGACTGTATTTCTAGCCTGCATCAGAAAGACATCCTATAGTATTTTGGTGGGTTTGCATACCTTTATGGCTACTTGCTGGTTCGGAAGACCTTGAAGCTGGAGCTACCTATGTCTGGATTGTCAACAAAGTATTCAAGTAAAGAGCTAATGGTTTTCATACCAGCGGGACCTGTTTTTGAATTTCTTCAACAATATCCTCCTCCTCATCACTGCTTCCGTATCCAACCAAAGCCATTGTGATATATGCGGTTATTGTACCTGGGCTGCAAACACTTTTCTGTCATCGACAGCTTGAATGTGTCGGATTTTAATTATTCCGGCCTGAGGCTGATCCCGCGATGGAGCTCTGAGCTTCGCGTCGTTCCTGCCTTGCCCAACCCGAGCTCTCATCCATACAATTCCATTGACCAGCGGTTTATCATCGTACCTCCACCCTAATCCAAATCGTAAACCGATCATCTTCGAATCTTTCACCGACCCAAACAATCGCATCATGAATCATCTTCCACAAGCTTGGGGCCGTGTACGTTATACCTATACCATGACAACAGGACGCTTATTGACTATTTGATAGCCCAGAGATGATGTTTACGGAGCATACGATCACGCATACCTACAAAACGGTCCAAAGCAGCACACACAATCACCAGCAGTAACCGGTACATCGGTGTTGGCACTGAAGTTCAAGGATGGTGTAGTTATTGCAGCAGATAATCTTGGTATAGCCTCATACTCCACCTCGTCCAAACCCAAACGCTAATTCCTTCCTCTACAGCATCCTATGGTTCCCTCGCCCGCTTCACAGACGTCAAGCGTCTCCGCAAATTCGCAGACACAACCGTCGTCGGATTCGGCGGCGACGTCTCAGACATGCAATACCTAGACCGCCTCCTCAACTCCCTCGACATCGAAGAAGCGTACGGAGGATCCAGCCACACACTCAACGCGCAAAACCTCCACACCTACCTCTCCAAAGTAATGTACAAGCGCCGATCCGAATTCAACCCATTATGGAATCAACTGTTGGTAGCTGGACTAGATGGGGAGGGAAAGCCATTCTTGGCCAGTGCCGACTTATTAGGTACAACGTTCAGCTCACCCAGTTTGGCTACGGGATTCGGTGCGCATCTAGCTCAGCCGCTTTTAAGAAAAGTTGCGTTTGATGAGGAGGCGGCGGCGAAGTTGACGGTTGAGGAGGCGGTGGAGGCGATTAAGGAGTCAATGAAGGTGTTGTTTTACAGAGATGCGAGGAGTTTGGATAAGTATTCGATTGCGGTTGTTACGAAGGATGGGATTGATTTGAAGCAAGATGAGAAGTTAGAGAAGCAGAGTTGGGCGTTGTAAGTTTTCTTCTCCCTGAGCTTTTTGAGACTTACTAACTTTATATGCAGCGCGGATCAGATTCGGGGTTACGGTACTCAGATCAATTGAGGTATTCATGTTCGCTGTAATATTAGAGGTTGAATGATGAACCATAAATGAGCGTATTACACATCTGCTTGCCATACGAATATCGGAACAGATAAAAGTGCCCGTCCTGAATTGACCTCTAAATTGTTCTCTCCTTTTCCATACACCCGCTCACTCTACCAATTTCAACCCATAGCACAGTACGGTTTGATGGTTTCTATCTGGATTATAAACAGAGCTTGAAAATATTGGCGCACGGATTCCAAACAAGCATTCCAAGGATTGGGACATAATATCTAGGGAGTTAGACCAATAACGAAACTGTACTGTGGTCTATAAACACTGACAGGATCTCTATTACACGACCCATCCATCCCATGAACGAACATCAATTTGAAAATTCTGAGAACGGGGAGGAGAAAGGGACGTTCTCTACATACCTACTTCAAATTCGTCCGAGCCTGTCCTATGAATTCGTACCATCCATCCAACTCTGCCACAACAATTCCCTGATACTTACGTATAATACCTCTCTCTCGTATGAGTAGGTAGGTATCTACCGAGCCACTCCAATCCTAGCAAAGAAACCCCCCCATCCTTCTCAAAAACCAGCATAAAATTACCGCCGTAGAATCTCGTTCGAAGACTCTTGTAATAGTAGAATCATATCCTAATGAATCCTGGGTTTCGAGCTGAGGTGGTCTTGTCTCATTGGTTTTTGTGGTGAGGTGCCTTAGGTGTCTGAATGGACGTTTGCTTTTGATGTTGGGTGTTCGGGTCGTATGATGGATTGCACTACGCTGATTGACTTGAGCTCTTGTAGGCTGTTGGTGGATGGACGTCGTGAACTTACTCTGTTGTTGGTAGATAACGGAGCGCTGATTCAAGTATATGCGCTTACTCCTCCACTCGCCCTTCTCATCACAAGTAAGTTTTACTCATCATCTACCACCACATCCCAGGTACAGTGATCTGTAAGAATCTCAAGTAATGTTCATAAACATTATCCACTAAACTAAGCTATTTATATCGGTATCTAGTACGCACGCACGCACGTATGCTAATTAAGTAAAAACGAAACCCCTCCACAATTCCAGCCAGCGCATTTCGTATCCCGTAGAATACAATTGCAATTCAATTCAAACTCCACCCATCCCGCGCCTCAAAACAAACACCTACCCACATCAATTCAAACGCCCAACCCTCACTCCCCCACCACCCTATGAAGCACTTCCTTCCCCCCTCTCAACAGCATCCCCCTCCGTCTCCCTCTCCTCCCTCTCCCTCTTCCCACTTCCCGGCAAGATTTCTTTAACCGCACCCTTAGGATTCTCCAACACCCCCAACGCCCTCTCCTTCCTGGATTTCTTCTCATGCTTGTCCAACCGCTCCTCATCACTGCTACTAATCTCATCATCGCTATTCTGCACAAGCAGTAGCGTCTTCCCCTCTTTCTTCTTCCTCTCCCTCTGCGCTTCCTTCATCTTCGTGAGTTTCTCATCCGTACACTCCCGCGTCACGATATGCAGGCCGGGAAAATTCGCTTTCAGGAATTTCTTGAGTAAGGGGAGGAGGGAGCCGTCGGGTCGGTAGGTGCCGGAGTCGTTGTCGATGACGAGTTCGTAGTATTTTGGGTCTTTGGGCGGTGGTTCATCTGGGGGGCCACCAGGGAGATCGGCGTCTGGATGTGTTTCCTGGGAGGGGGATTCCGCGGATCTTTTGGGGTGTTTGAGTCTGCGGATGAAGAATTCGCCCGAGCAGGCGATATAGACGTTTACGTCGCTGTGCATGGTGTGTTTGGATAACATGTCAATGCCGAATTCCTTGCCTGTTTCCGTGAAGCGGAAGAGCCCGTCAAGGGTGATTACGTAGGTGAAGATGCGACCCCCCTCGTCGTAGTGGACCATTTTCAGGAATTGCGCGGATGCTTCTTCAGAGCGCGGTTTGACAATGCCGTATTCGGTGGTGTTGCTGAAGTTGTATACGGAGGCGTGTTGATGGTGGAGAGCGCGGTTCAGAACTCGTCCTCGGAGACCAGCTTTCGAAAACATGCCTTTGACGAAGGGTTTGAATTCTACGAAGCGATGATATAGTTCGGGCGGTACTGGGCCTTGCAGTTGAAATTGATTCGCTTGAAAACTACAATTTGTTAGTTCTTGATATTTAGTCCGATCGTGGATTTAAGACTTACTCATATTTCTCAGTCTTCCCATCCTTCCCACCCTCACTACTCCCAGGAGCCTTGGTCCCAGCCAGTCTCCCAATCATCGGAGAATAATGCTTAACCCAAGAAGTCTCAGCAACCGTATACATCCTTCCATGCGGAGGTTCCGACTCTCCTATCAGCTCCGCGCTCAAATACAAACTCCCCTCCATATTCACACTACTCAACAACACAGCGCAAGCCCTAATCGAATACGCTCGTTTACTCCCCATCCTCTTCTTAACCTCAAAATGATCCTCCTTAATCCCAGGCCAATCCGGTCCAATATGGTTCACAGAAAGCGTGACATTTCCCAAACGATCATCGTGATCCGAGGGGTCCTCATCGTATATCCTACACTTCAAGCGGAACCCCGTACTTGGGATACCAGCCACCGTCCACTGCGTATTCCACACCGGATCCGTATTCTTATGTACCGTCGGCGTCCGCAGAATCAGATCCGGGTCTTCCTTGTGTCTCTTGTGCAGCGCCGACGTTAATGTCGCATGAATGTATGGATCGCTACTTCTCGAGTTCAGATCCGCGACCGGCAGATTCTCTGCGCGATGGAAAGTAAATTTGATGGTGTACCCGTCGCGAGCTGGAGGGATCGGAGTTTTATCGTAACCACCGGGTGGGTTATTCTTCATCTTCAGCTTCTGCTCTTTCTTGCTCAGCTTTTCCTTTGCGGCGCTGACTCTGTGATGGTGGCCATCGTCTTGTTTTTCAGCATCTCCATTCGTGATATTGTTCTGTTCGTTTGGAGGATGTAATTGATCTGTCGAGCCATTTGTCGGCGGAGTCTGCTTTTCTTCTGCCATTATTGCTGATTGTTTAGTTGTGTTATTGCGATTGATGGTGGGGGAATGCGCTCGATTGCGACAGAGCTTTGCGCAGCAACTTCCCAACCTCTCGTATAACGATGGCGACCCGGCTACAGTAATCCAGGTAAGCTCGTCAATCTGCCGACTCGAATAAAGCCGTCACCGAAAATTACTCTCCGCCACAGCAGAATTTTATTATCTTCCTTTCCTCCTCTTTCGCTCACTTCACAGGCTTATCGGAAACAGCGGCGTTGATGTGGATTCTGTCACTGCGGGACGATCCTCGACACACCCAAAATAAATCGACCTAGGCTCACGACAAGCTTTTCTGCCAAGCAGAAATTGAAGAGCGATTTGCTGTCGTCGTGCTTGGCAAGGCAAGACAGGCGTATTTGAATGCGAGAGATCTGCTTGAGGAAAGGCTAAGAAGACTGGAGAAAACGGTGGCATCGAGTAAAGGGATTGGCGCAGGTAAATGTGCTCGTTTTAGGTTGCCGATTCGTCCAAATCCGTCTTCACTCCACCCTCTGCCAACTTCCCACTTCTTCGTATTTCGGATTGGGCTTAGACTGAACCCTCACATGGACGACGAAACGTCATATTTACCTCTTGGGTATGAGTGCCGAGTCTTGATAAGACTAAGATCCAATCGTGCATATGATATGAAACATCTTTAAAAACAGAGGAAAGACTGTGGGCTGGCTGTTCGTGTGAGATACAACACTAACATACTATTCGGCCTATCGATCTCGGAGACAGACCTGCTCATCTCACGAAGCTACATCTGGCCTGATTAAGTATTATCTCATAACCACCTATCCCTATAGCATGATTATTTTCAATCCAAACCTCGAGGTCACCATTCCCAAACCAACCCTGTAACACCGACCACATTTACCGACAGTGCACCACCACAGCTTCCATCAGTCTAGCAATGCACCCAGACACAAAAACGACGAGACGTCCAACGCCAGCAATGCGAGTTCCCATGGTATCTCCAAAGCATTACATCAATCATTAACCACCCACATCTCATCATCTATTACAATCATCTTTCAGGAATGGGCACCTTTGCCAATCGTCCCCCAGCACTCACTCGCTTCTGCAATCGTGCCTCTTTCTCTTTCTGTTTATCCCCAGCCGATGGTGGAAGGGAGCCCAGGGTATCCGTGGGCGGTCCATTCCGAGCACTCTTTTGTTCAACATACAAAGCAGCGCTTCGACTAAGTGGGAACGCAGGTAGCGTGCTAGGAATAATGGCACCGTTCTGAACAAGCATCTCGGCTATCGGGAATGCCGCTGGTTTGGACGCCGTCTCGGGTCGAGTGGGTGAGCTCATCTGAGAGGGAGCTGCCGGATCCGCCGCGGCGAGCGCTAGAAATACCGGATGGGTCCCTCGCGACTTGTCCGGCACGTTTGGATTAGCCTTGAGAGCAAGAGCGTAAAGAACTTGCTGGATGTCGTTTTTCTTGACGGCAGCCAGCAGAGTGTCGTCTGGTGTAGCGTAACGAGAAAGGGTCGAAGATATTGGTTCCACGTAAGCCCGATCAACATACTTGGCTGTGATAAATCGTAACCTTTCTTCCCGAGTAGCGTGAGATGGTGGTTTGGTCGAAGGGTCCAATTTAGCTTCCCAAACCATGTTTGAGACGCGATTTCCTACGAGCAAAAGGAGCTCGACAATATCCGTTGTGAACGAGTTCATATCGAGCGTGAGTGAACGGATTTTACTAATATGCGTACCCAGCGATCGATGGATACCACTGCATTCGATACACAGGATGATACCTAGATTGATGGAGACCCATTCAGTCTTCTGCCCTGACCCGCAATCTGCACACCAGCAGTTACCCTGATCAGTCTCACGCAGCAACTGGAGCAGCTTATCAGGACTTTCGTCAAAACCGGCACTCCCTTGGCGCTGATATGGCGGTCTTGCTCCGACCGTAGTTCTTCGAAAGACGTTGTTGTTGGCAGTATTATGGTTCGTAGGATTGTGCTGACCATGGTTCACCGAAGAGCTCTTCCCAGTAAGGATAGATCCAATGTCTCTTCTAATGGAATGGAACGGTTCCGTCGGAGTAGGTGATGCTCTTTCAGATGTATATCCTCTTGTATCCCTCCCCTCCATCGCACTTTGAATAGCATTGTTGATAGCAGCGATCCAATTGTTCATGTCATCTTCGGAAGTTGCTTGATAGACGCGCTTGAATTGAGGTGTAATAGCTTCAAAGCAGAAACGCCTATCAGCACCTCGAGCTGATCGAACGGAGGCCATGCGAAGATCAATAGGTTCCATATGCAGGTCCAAACGATCTTTCCAATTACTGTACTCGGACAATTTTCCAGCGTCGAGCACGACCCAAAATCTATACCATGTCAAAACTTGCTTGAACACTGGGATTTTAATTACTTACTTATGCCAAGCCTGCTTGTTCAATCCTCTCGGGTCAACGTGACTGCCGGGTTTGCTCAGAGCCCATAGTAAACCTTCCTTCTTCAAAGTGCCATTCTTCTCGCTAGCGGTAGCTTGAGAATGGTCCTTCTCTTCCAAGTCTCGGATCCCCTTAAATTTCGAATTTGTGCCCGGGCTGCTTAAAGATCCGATGTTTGAACTTAAGCTCCCTGGTGAGCGCGCAAAGTCGGACGCCCCATTATTTGCTGAGTTGGTCATGGAGACTCCATTGGAAGAAACAGCTCTCAGCGTTGAAGATGTGCTATCCATTCTCCCCAGTTCAGAATCCGTATACTTGCCACCCGTGGAAATAGCAGAGGCCATCGATGAGGTTCCTACAGCAGGTACAGAATCTGGCTCAACGTAGGTAGTTGTACTTTTCTCAAGATTCCGGCGCTTTTGTTCACGCTCAGTCCGTTGATACTGGTATTCCTTGTCCGCTTGCTGTACTTCATTGCTGAGAGCATCCAGCTGTGGAAGCAGGTTCTCAATCTTCTTGGCAGTGGTAAGGTAACCTTTGGTCTGAGCATCAGCATACTTTGTGAGGTGTGATAGTACCTCTTGCTCTTTACGGCCTCCGTGAAGATCTTGCATAAACGAGGAATAGTCGAACCGCTTCAATTCGAAATTTCGTCGTTTTGTCTGATACTTGGTGTCTTGTTCCGTGCGCTTCTTCTGCTTCAACGAGTCCTGCCGCTGGCCAAGGTATCGAGCAACGTAAGCATAATAATCTTTACTTTCTTCTTCGAAGTCTCGTTTTTTGGCCTCAGCTTGTTTGATATCAATAGTGTACAACTTCTGTATGGGTTCGATGATGATCTTTTGTAGATTAATGGCGTTCTGCTTTTCGTATTGAAGAATCTCCCAGGCAATTTTGTCAAAGTAATGCTCCAATGCTGGTTGCACCGCATTCGCATTCGATGATGATGCTTCTCGAAGCGCGTCTACGAATCCCGCCATTGCATCATTGCAGTCATTTTGAGCAGTGTGCATGGCATCTGCTTTCTTCAAGACCTTCTTCATTTGAAATCGCATATTTCCCGTCTTCTGCTCCAACGCTTTCATGGTGGCGCGAAATAACGGTCCGTCTTCTGTAGCACTCATATCTTCTCCCGGTCTTTGGCACGAAACATCGACCTTAACTAAGTCTTTCTGCGGAATACCTGGACCTGGCAAGGCAAACTCGTTGTTGGCCACGATCGGTGACGATGGCTCTTCATAATCGCGCATATCCATCGCGCTGATTCTTGAATCCATAGATTGCGAAGACGGTACTCGGAGTTTAGGCGGAGGAACAAGGTGGAATGGTGGTGGGGAAGGGGAGTTGGGAGCGCTGAGATATTGAGTATTGCCTATAGCGAGTTAGCACATTCTGTTGGATATGGTAAAATACATACTTGAAACCCAGAAGGCAAAGCTAGCAAGAGTATTTAATCTATGCGCGCGCTGGTCATATTCAACAAACTATCAACATTAGCCACGTCCACGCCCAATGCTTGACAACGTACGCTGCAATGATTTCTCCAACCGCCACCTCTATCCTCTGTTGGCTTCGGCGGCTTCCATTTCCAGGTCCATTCAAATGACACCGACTGGCTTCCACCCGTAGAAAAGTCGCCCACCAGCTGTACATTTGCATTCTTGTGTAGGTTCGGGTCGGCATGGAATTCTGTCGTGACAAGCGTATCTACTTCCTTCGCTGTTGACGCTGAAACATACGTAAGTCCATTAATTACAGTATCAACCAGGCCGGTTGGGGTGTTCGGAGGCGCATTGTTCGAGGGGTTCTGGGCGGTCTGTCGAACGACGAAAGTAAATCTAAAAGTAAGCTCTTCGTCGTTGTTGAGCTTGATGATAAAATTTGGGGGGGCAGAAAGAGAAGCATCTGGGTCCTGAAGGTCCGTCAGCAACAAAACATCAAATTGCGCGCCGCAAGCTTTCGCTGCATTGGACCTTGCTAAACATACCTGTACATATTCTACAACACTATTATCACCGAGGTCGCGGCTGGCAGAGTATCTGTTCGCTGGGAATGCGTCTGGGACTACGTTGAGGACGGTGCGTCTTCGAGAGTTGGTAACGGTTAATGAGGAAATCGTCACTGTAATTCCTTCATCAGCATCTGCGAAAACGAAACCAGCAGCAGCAAGTAATCTCACATCGATTCTGATCCCTGAGATACAGCGCAGAGGTATCCTCAACTCTGCTACTCGTTGCACCCATCTTCGATCCTTCCTGCGATGTTTACCCCACTACACGCGGATTTGTAGTTTCAGAAGCGCCGGGACTGCTCGCAGTGGTGGCGCGATCGAACGCTATTGATGTAATAATCAATATCATCTAGGTGAGTGTTGGGAGAATTAATATCGAAATGATGCTGCTTCGAATTTGTGTTGTGAAGAGTTTGGGAGGTCGAAGGTAAATTGAGATGGGATGAGGCCTGGCGGATATTGAGCTCTCGCTTCCAGGATAAACGCGGATCCCCTGGCGCTATATCTATCTATAACGACTACTAGGTGCTAGTTCAGGATTTAGAGTAGGATTCGCAGGCGTTTTTCTACTAGATCAACGTTCCTGATTCTGTGCTTGCAAGTGGAAATATATCATACTCTGGAGAACATGTCCCGTCTAATATGAAACAATACAATAACCGATTCGCATGTTGGTTCTAGCAAGGAGACTGGCCAGGCACCTGCATCTATTAATGTGCTTACACGGCTTTTGCACGCACACCTACTCCATCTGGTGTGCTGTGCGTAGTGACTGTGAGTGACTGTGCTGTGTGATTGTTCTTGCTGACGTATGTTTCGCCCGCCCGCAATGAGGCTGTGATTGATCTATGCAACCTAGAAGGGGCGTGAACGTTTTATGAAGATAAGTAGGCTTCTACCTATTAAATGTAACCATTCTCGCAATCATTTTACGAAGTCCATAACTTCATGGAGGCATGAGATGCAAGACTCAATTCGAGATAATATACGTATATTTGGTAGTTATTAATAGCGCTCTCGTCCACATTTCATCTCAAGCTCGGCAATCGTGATTGTGAAACAGAAGCATTTTCAGGGGTCAGACGAGACCTGATACTATGGATACGGGACGGTTTGCTTACCTTTATAACCGTGACACGCAAACCAAAATGACTAAACCAGATAAACATGCGAACCTCATGACAGCGAAGAAAACAACCCACGCGCTACCAACGAGTCGGTTGAGCTTGTGCAAGCCAGAATGAAAACATGGGGAAACAATCGTCTGGAACACAGCAGCCTCGGTTCGCGGTTCGACGGTTATGGTGGGGCGTTGTTAGTCCTCCCTCGTGGACGACAATGGAATTGTACTTCTCCATCAACTACGTTTTGAGGACGAAAGGGACATTTCCAGCTTTACAAATTTGCAGATCTTCACACTCCGTGTCACGAGTTCTATCAAGATTTTCATACGATTTATGCTCGCATAGTTGAAGCTATCGGCAAACAAACAAAGCCCACGTGTGATATACGGGATAGCCTGCAAACAGAACTGGCAGGACTTGTAATAGCATCTCACACGTTGGAGCTCGGTTCGAGAACGCAAAAGCAATGGTTTCAACTGCGAATGAGACTTTTGCAGGATCGACCAGCCTAAAAGCACAATCGTCCCATACTTATGAGGCAGACTTCCGTGATAGTTGGTGCATTGGGACAGGTACAGAACATTATGAGTATTATTATCAATAACCTCATTAACAATTTTTAGTACCACATGGAGGATATGTCACGTCCTGCTTCCTCCAGGTAGCATCTAAACATTTCAACACCACCTTGTCAAAGCAAAACCAACCACACTCCATAGCTCTTCACATAGACTTTCTACGAAGAACCGAAGCAGGCCCAGCACTCTTCACTGTCAAAGACACTAAACTCGGACGGCAAGCGTCTGTAATTCATGTCACATTGACCCAATCAGGTAGAGAAGAAGCTTTAGCTGTCATTACCAATTCCAACATGACAACAGAGGAAGGAGTGTCATTCTCAACTTCTTACAAGATGACTCCTCAGCCCGTGCCAGTCTCACTAGAGCGGTTATCCAAAGACGAGGATGAGAAGTGGTGCCTTCAATCTAGAATGCCCTCTATAAAATTTCGCAAGGCAATGGCCAAGCTTGAATTCTACTATCCCCGCAATGGACAGGTCAGCAATAGTTGTGCAGATGAATGGGTCAGACTGAGCACTGGGGAGAAATGGACGAATGCTTCCCTTGGTTTTCTATCCGATGCGTGGCCTGTAAGTTGTGCTAATAACGTGTTTGGCACTGCAACTGATGAATTCCAGATGCCGGTGGAAACCAATTTACGCGAACAAGCAAGTAGAGACCCGAACCACGACAGTAACAAGGCAATCATGGTATGAATTACGTCTCATCCGGCGTCTTGTGCAACTGACTAACTCGGTTTCCAGTGGTATCCGACGCTTCTCCTCAACATCGACTTCAAGAAGGCTTTACCAGAAGAAGGCGTCAAATGGTTGTTTGCGAGGACCGAATCAAAACAGATCAAAAACGGAAGGTTTGATATTGAGGTAGTGATACTCGATGATACCGGAGACATTGTTGCACTCAGTCATCACGTTGCTTTGGCGGTGCCTGCTGAGCGAAATGTCGCGAAGCGGGTGACGGGTAGTAAGATGTAATGTCAACAAGCGAGAGCGCTCAAATAGAGATAAACTTGCAATTTGCTCTACTATCTTCACATTGAAAAGGGCGGGGTTTCCATCCCTTTGATTTTCCACGGCCTCGATTGCGGATCTGTTCAAACCCAGTTTCACAATAGGATTCTCGTCTACGGTTCCGTTGGCGTCCAGTGACCAAAAAGCTAAGCAATGTATGTAGAACCCTCCCCCAATGCAAAAGCCCTAATTTCCCTCTATATCTCAAGGGTTTTACTCCGAGATTATTCTAGCAGAGGTCCATCCTCGTGTCTACTCAACGATTCGTATCTTGGGGTTCAACCGGGAGGATGGTTTGCTCCATACCAGCACGATTATATTGTTCTGTCCATTTGATATTTTCAAGGCCAATTCCGTTTGTGTTAGTCTTATAGAACTGCTACCTCGTGGCGGACAAAATAAGTATATCAGGTGAGTGTCTGGGATTTAGTCGATTAACTTGTTATATTGCGGTATACTTCATTGGATCGAAAAGTCACAGAAGTATTTTCATAGTTGCTCAACAACTGTTAGGCTTGATAGTTTTAATAGATCAAAGTGATCTAGTCACCCGTTCATCTAAACGGTGATTTAATTTCTGGCGCAGCTTTTGTATAGAGCGGAATAAGTCCAAAGACAATGCTACTTTTCTTCTTCAATTAAATATGTAAATGCGGCTACGTATCTGTCGAATCAGCTGCTAATTACTACAGTGTGGTGAGTTTTTGCGGATTTGGGGGCCAGTCGCGAATCCTTCTTAATATTTCCAACAAGTCAGAACGAAGAGATACTCCAATCTTCGTGGCGAAGTGCCTCTAACCAACATCGGTAAAATTACCGCTGCACATTACACGTTACACAATCCCACACATACCCGTTGAAGTCGCCATGCCCTCGTAAATCCCGTCTCCTCATTGGGGCTGAGTGCAATCAATAGACAGGGGGCAGCCAGGGCGCCTCGACGCTGCATCGTGAGGTTGCACTCGGCGATTAGCAGGCCAGCAACCCCAAAGATCGTGTTTGTAAGGTTATGTTTGAAAACAAACCCACGTTCTCAACTTCCCCTCATGTTGTCATCTCGCCATCGTGGTGATGGAGCTAATGCGACTCTCAGACACCGACCCCTCGGCCTTGCAAATCTGCGGATCATGTCGTCGCGCCTTACGACTCCGGCAAATCCCCAAGATTGGAGGGATTAACCGGTCGAAACAGACGGTGTCAAGTTGTCCGCTTTGTATTCTGATTACGCATACCAGGCGAGAGTGGGAGCGGAATTTCTTTGAGAATTGCTCGTTTTTTAGGACGGTGTTTTTCACGACCTCGCCGAGTCGGCTGGAGAAGAAATGGGTTTCGTTTACAAAGGCGTATACGGAATCGTGGTGTGATCCGCATATGATTGATGATCTGAATGATCTGATTTTCTACTCTTCCAGCACCAGGGCGCTAACGTTGAATTTTGGACGTCTCGTGGAGGATACCTCGAGTAATGATAATCCGTGGAAATTGATCAAAGACGATGTTGTGAGAGCGGTGCCGAGGGGTGAAATCGATCCGGATATGGTGAAAGAGTGGTTGAAGCGCTGCAATAAACATCATGAGAGATGTGACGATATTCGGCTCAAGTTCTTTGACACTCAATCGAGGGAAGCGCGCTGGAATATCGTTCTGATTGATGTTCGCAACAAAAAGTTGATTAAGCGAAACTCGAAATGTCGATATGTTGCGCTGTCGTATGTCTGGGGAAGTGTCAGTCAATTACAATTGACCATGGCAAATTTCGAAGAACTACAGGTTCATGGGTCTTTGAGGAAGCATTGGGATCAGATCCCGAGAGTGATACAAGATGCCATAGATTTCACTGCTTCAATTGGAGAGTACTGTCTTTGGGTCGACACGCTTTGTATTCCACAAGACAGCGATACTAGGCAGGAAGATATCGAAAGGATGAACGAGATATACAGCGGAGCGAAGTGTACGTTAGTAGCTTTGTGTTCTCAAGACGCGAGAACCCCCTTAGCGGGCTTTCGACCCGGAACACGAAAGATCAAACCCATCGCCAAATGTCACGATCTCCTAATCGCCAAACGATCACCAGATCTCTCCAAGATCTTCTCTATGTCGACATATGAGACTAGGGCATGGACGTTTCAAGAGCGACTTCTCTCCTCACGATGTCTCTTCTTTACAAACGAGCAGCTGTTCTTTCATTGTCCGTCGGAACTATGGAGTGAAGATCGATTCGAGCATTTCAAACAGACAGCGGATTTCTTTGGCAATTTCGCATCATTGGAGCCTTCGAAGTCGATCTCGGGGATGTCAAGAAGTTTTAAGGATGGTACGGCTGGGAAGTTTTCAGCTTACGCGGAATTTATCAGTCAGTATTCGAAGAGAATATTGACGTTCAACTATGATATCTTGAATGCTTTTTCCGGAATTTTGAACGCGAGAGGAAAGGAGTGGGAATGGGAGTTCCTTCAAGGAATGCCTCTTCAGTCCTTCTATCTTGCACTCTTGTGGGATTGCTCGGAGCTAGATCAAGACCGCATATACAAACATCACAGTGGAGAAAAGCTCCCAAGTTGGTCCTGGGCAGGATGGTCTGGACCAAAATACTACGCACTCGCCGAATGCGTCGGCGAAGTCAACAACTTCGTAATTGGACCCATGGAAGTCACCCCTCACGAGGGCGAAATGACCGACAACAGACGCCTGAGATTTGACCGCCATAACACCCACGCAGAACGCCTCTCCTCAAGCGACCGCCTCGACGTATCCAACATCCCCACCCTCGCCCACGCAAGCCTCCAACCCGACGTCCTCTTCTTCTGGGCCGAAGAAGTATCCTGCCGGCGCTTCAACTTCCTCCTCACACACATCAACCCGAGCAAACTAATCCCCGGCCGCACCGACAACCGCGTGATGCGGATCCTAAACCACCAACACGGGTCTTGCGGTCTGCTCTTACACTCCGGCAACTCTCCCCCAGGGTATTTAAAAACCTGGAACTTTCAATTCACGGCAGCGAATTTCAAGTTGATTCGGCTGGCCGACTCGCGACCGGTGACAAGGTGGCTGGACGATGGGATTGTGGAGGCGGACGAGGCGATGAAGTGGGATCAGAATATTTTTGAGGATGCGTATAGGCCGGCTGTGGAGGTGTATACGGTTATGCTGGTGAGTTGGACGGATGAGGGGTATGCGGAGAGGGTTGCTATGGGGCAGATTCATCCGAGGGCATGGGAGGAGGCGGAGCCGAGGGGGAGACATATTTTGCTTCGTTGAGGGGATGGAAGAACGTTCAGAAGCTCAACAGTACCCTTTTGAAAGATGCAAATGGGTCTTCATGGTCTCCAGCTCTCGATCGGACACTCAAAAATCCGTTGCCAGCGGCTCAAGGATCTTCATAACAGGCAGGACATTCTCTGCCGGTATGAAAAGCTCGATCTATGTTCCAGCAATTATGGCAATGCCCGTTTGTGTCGGAGCAAACAATCGTCCCGAAGCTCCAATAACAGCGCCTCTCATTGCGACCTAACCAAACTCACGAGTCTGATGAGATCCAATCACATTGACTCCCTGAAAACAAGAGCCAATGGTGAGACCCCTTCTGTCTTGCAGAGCACTTTACCAGCCTCTTGAACGCGCTGAGCTCATGGATGAAAAGCAAGGCTCGTTGGTATTGCAAGTGCAAGGGATAGACAGCTATCTGTCTAAGGTGTACCTGTGTAGCCGCCAACTCGGTTGAGACGTCATTTCGAAATCACCCAGGGAGTGAAAAGTTTGTCCAATCTTTGCACACTGGGAGTATGGTGGCGCAGAGAACATCTAGAAATGATGAAATATAGAATGATTTGAGTAGGAGATGTAGTGAGGTGAGGAGATGGTGGAATATGTTATTACGCAGGGTCTCGCTTAATTTCCATACCTCCCTAAGCGGCCAAAAGTCCATGTTATGATCATGTATGCATAATGTATGAAATTATATCTCCATCGAGTAACAGAATTCAAAGACGAGTCCCTAAAGATTCTACCCCCTCGCAACAGCAGCATGTCCACCCCCAACCCCCCCACCAACCCTCTGTCCAAACCCCCAACCGAACTGATTCGCAATCCTGACCGGAATCCCCAACTCAGCAGCCCACTCCCACACCAACGCCGGACTCTTCAGGAACGCCCGTCCAACTAACACGGCATCCGCACTTCCATCTTGCAAGATCTGCTCCGCTTGCACACCACTCGTAATCATGCCTACCGTCCCGACAAACGTTTTCTCGGATTTCCCAGCCTCGGTCAGCGCTTTCTTAATCGCAGCCGCGAAAGGGACTTGGTAGCCTGGTCCACTAACGACTTTCTGCTCATGCATCAGCGCTGCAGACGAGACATCGAGGAAATCGACGCCAGCGTCGGAGAGTGCGAGAGAGAGCGCGATGGCCTGGTTGATTTCCCAGCAGTTGCTCTCGGGCGGCATCCAGTCTGAGCCTGGGATGCGGACGAAGAGAGGCATAGTGTCTGGGATAGCGTTGCGGACCAGTTCGGTGACTTCGAGGAGGAGACGCATGCGGTTCTCGAGGGAGCCGGAGTAGGGCGCTGGGAGGGAGTTTGTGGCTGCGGAAAGCGAGGCGTGCAGGAGGTAGCCGTGGGCGGCATGGATTTCGATTACGTCGAAGCCGGCTTTGAGGGCGCGGTGGGTGGCGGAGAGGAAGGATTGTTTGAAGCTGGCGATGTCGTCGAGGGTCATGGTGGTTGGTACGCAGGTGTGAGGGGCGTCAAAGGCTTCGTTGCTGGTACTTATGACTCTGTCGGGCCAACCGCAAATCTAAAACCTATATTAATACTTGCTAACAGGACCTAGATGCTAGATTTGCTTACATCTGCTGTTGCTACTGCTTTTCTATCGATCCACGGTGCAACTGTACTAGCTTTCCTTCCAGCATGAGCCAACTGAATCGCCATATGCTGACCTTGGCTATGTGCAAATTCAACCGTCTTTCTCAACGGCTCAATCTGACTGTCTTCCCATAATCCCGAGTCTTCTGGAGTGATGCGTCCCTCAGGTGTCACAGCAGTTGCCTCGACAATTGTAAGTCCTGGTCCACGAGAAATGATACCACCTAAATGGGTGTGGTGCCACATGGTGTGTTTTCCGTTTTCCGCCGAGTATTGGCACATGGGAGATACCATGATCCGATTTTGAAGCTTTAGTCCTCTCAGTTGAAGTGGCTCAAAGAGCTTTGGAAGCGTCGCGTCTGATTTCGTAATGCCTGTACCAGATGCGATCGTTTGCTCGGGAGTAAAATACGAAATCTGAACCCGTCAGCATGTTCCATACATTCGATTCCTCGATATTAATTTACCTTTGGCGCAGCGGTATTCTCCAAGGGATTTTTAGGGGTTGATGTTGAATCCATTTGCCCAGCGGATGGAGCACTCTTCGGTAGCGTTGATGGATCAATGTGGTCGGCCATTGTTATTATTAGGTCTATCGAGTTGCGTACGGGCTATTTCGAGAAGAGTCTTGAATGGAAGTGATTAAAGACTGTGTGTTGTAAAGTTCTGGGAGATGAGAATCGGCTCGCTATATAGGTCGAGTCACCCAAGCAACACGCTTGCATGAGAAACATCATGCTGCGCGTTTTCTTGATATTGAATGTGATTACCAACAATTGAACATTGAGTAGAATGTGTCATCCAGCGGTTTTGTGAAATAATGAAGATCTGTCTGACTTCAGTGGTAACACATCTGCAAATTGTACAGTCAGCAACATATATGGCCTCACTGTGCGCCGAAACGGCGAGAAATCGCCGCACCAAGAGCGAAATCGTGAAAGCGTCCACAACGACACCATCGCAAGATAAAGCTACCTAGGTAGGCAGCAGAGACCAGATTGCAATATAGCTCCAGCAAATGCGAACTATCGACATTTGCAGTTCCGTTCGCAGCTTCATTTGATTGGCATACCAGTCTCGAGCGCAAAGCAACACGATGAAGAAATGCTCTGACGTTAAGCGAACTTCTTGATACTGTTTCTCCAAAGCTATGGAAGGGGCTCTGGTTTGTTTTAAGAAGTCTGAAGTTTGCAGGAATACTTCCTGGCCAATGAAGTAAGAGTATGCTCACTATGATAACCTCTCACTAACCAGTCATTTCTCAATTGTTCCACTTATAGTTGCCCACAGAAACTAGGAAACTAAAAACTTCTGAAGAGTACACAAATCTAGAACTCCTTTATGGTCCTCGGAAGCGTGGAAAAGAATCATAATTGCAATTTAGGGACAATCACACAACCGACAGCTCTCGGATCAGCACTGGGATTTACCAAAATCCAAACACGTTGAAAGCGTTCCACAGACCCAATATTACACAGAGGACAGCACTCCCTTTTTTTATAAGGATCTGAAAGTGTGCTGGGTCTCTAGAGGAATTTGAAAGCAGCCGTCGGGCTCGCAAACCAACACACTTCGAACCACTGTCCAGCAACATTGGGCCGCTTCTTGAGTAGGGCAGCGATGCCGCACGCACTGGTTTCTTTAGCCAAGCTTTCGAATCCGAGAAATTCTCAAACCCGCAGTGGCATATTTAGAAAAAGTTTGGACATATCAGAAAGGAGGGGGAAATGATACTTTCTAGCATTTCTGAAACCGCATTGAACAGTGCTCTGGAAAGACAGCTATCTCGAGAGACGGATGCGGTTGGGTCCAGGTTGGAAATGGATTGTAGCAACAGAAACAGAATCATGTCGAAATGAAGGTAAATCATAACTCGCCGATATCAAAAAATGACTTCTTCGCGTTCAGCAAACATTAAGAGATGTGCGTCCACATTGTATGGTGGCCTACCCCGGCCTACTGGGTTCGGAATCAGATACGATGACTTGAGATCCGCCAAAGATTCGTGGGGTCCAATAGCTCGTATTGTGTCTTTTAATTAGTCTCTTCTACAGCAAATAAACTCGGATGACCACGATCCCGTCGCTCCTTTACGAACTCAAGCCTTATGCACAAGCAAGTAGTCATCAAGCCGGTCGAACTCGAACATTGTCATCACACAAGATGCTTCTAAGCAATGTTCGCGAGTCTAGGCTCAATGGATTGGCAATTAGGAGAACTGAGCCGAGCAGTTGTTTGAACTCCATTGGACGCTTGCTAACGTATAGCTTCCTCAGTTCTTCATGTATCGATAAGCGGTGAGTGGACATGCTCAATGAACACCAGTCGATGTGAGCTGAACCCCAGAGCGTTGTTTGGAGTAGTAGGTGAAAGATTGGAAATAGCTACTTTGCAAGAATATCCATTAACAGGAATCCGAAAGTTTTCCGAATAGCTGGTATAACCCAACAACAAATACCAAGTATTGCAATGTCCGAGTTCGTCTTATTCCAACTTGATATTGCGATTATCCGAGTTCTCTGTTCCGAGCTTGGTCCGGTAAATTCCAGCTGCTGACGGCTTGCCAAGATGAACCTCAACTGAAGGCGCATGTCGCTCCCAACCGCAATGCAGCTTCACATTACGATCCTCGTACGATCCGACTTATATAATCCAGCCTTTCCACGCAATGTTCTATGTTCCCTCACGTACCTTCGTCCCAATAACTCGTTATGAATATCATCGATGCCGACGATACGGCTGTTAGTCCGCATGGGAAGCCTTGTATTTCGTGTCGCAAACGGAAGATAAAATGCGATCGGTCGCGGCCGTGTGCCAATTGTATTCGTTCGAAGCAGCTATGCACATATGAGAATCCAGATACTCCAAGGGGAGATTTTCAGTCTGCATCGTCTGATCATGATTTGCGCGAGAGGTTGGCGAAGTTGGAGGGGATGATGGCGGCGATGTTGAATCGAGACCAAGAAGTGCGAAGCCAAGAAGTCATCTTCCCCAACGCGCTAAGCTCGCGTCCTACTACTTCTTCAATTCAAACAGCAACGACAACAACCGCAACACCGCCGTCTCAGATTTTGGTTGGTACCAATTCGAGTGAGTTTACAGATGTAGTGTCTCCTCGTGACGTTGTAGGCCAAATTCTGTTTCAGGATGGTTACAGCGGATATTATGATTCGGACTTTTGGCCGTTTCTAATCATCGAGGTTAGTCATGACTGCTAACTCGAGCAGTCAATAGCCAAGATACTGCTTTCAAGAAGTCAGATTGCTCATATATAATCAGATCGAAGATGTACGCCGGTTGTTCTGTCCTCCAAGACCAGATATTACCTCTTTATCATGGCCGCTATTGTCTCAACCGCCTCCACTACACTCGCCTCTGATGCATCCGACACTTGAAGAGAGCAATGCATTGTGTAAACTTTTCTTTGAGATAGTCCATCCGTTCGTTGGTATGATACATCAAGTTCTGTTTCAGCGGGAGCTGGATAGATACCGTCGCGGTACCTACCACCTACCAGAGCATTTTGAAGCATTGCTTTTTTCTCTCTACCTACTCACTATAAACAGCCTGCGTCCAGAAATGATAGAAGAGATATTTGCTGCGCCAAAAGAGGAGGTACTAGAACGCTTTCAACAATCAGCACAAGCGGCTCTAACACGAATAGATTTTATGCGAACAGAAAAGGTGCATGGACTTGGAGCTCTGCTCTATTACGTGGTGCGTAGAACCAAAACTACAAAAAGCAAGATCAATCATCTAACAATTCCTAGACATTTCTTTTCCAGCAAACTGCTTATAAAGATGCCGTAGCTTTACTGGGGGTCGCAGCAAATATTGGACGTGGCCAAGGTATGCACCGTGACCCAAGCCATTTTCCCTTCTCGCCCTGGGTCTGCAATATTCGAAGACGGTTGTGGAATCACATTTGCTGCTTAGACGGTTTGGCTATCCAGTTTTATGGCGCAGAATCATGCCTGCCAGCGCGGTCAGATTCTAGACCGCACCAAAATGCAAATGACAGCGATTGGGACGCTAATAGATTGTATGCACCTTTCCATTTGTCCTCCGCTTCCCTTATTCTTAGTATTTGCGGAGAGCTTGATTCTTCCATGCGGCTCCCAGCTCTAGAGGCAACCAGAAAAGAAGCATACGCTGATTTATCCCAGTGGCAAGCCTGGATCTACTCCTCAGGATGAATTAGGATTCCAAGATACCACTTTTGTGCTTGTGAATAGATCCATCTCAGATACGATAAGGAAGTTGGCCGAATTAGACGTTGTCGAGAATGAAAAGAAAGAATCCATCATTCGAGACAATGAGGCAATATTGGCTGGAAAATATCTCCGAGATGTCGATAGAAGCAACCCTCGCCAGACTGTTGTTGTGGCCTTTATGGAAATTAGGCTTGCTGCACTGAGATTGGTCGTCCGACATCGCCAAACCGAGAAGTTAAAAACAAGGCCTATGGATCGAGGGAGACATCGGTAAGCATGACTTTCTCGGAAATGACAGCCTAGCTTTTTAACATCTCTAGCTGCTTCATTTCTGCCATCGAGCTCATTGAAGCGTTTCATTATCATTGCGACACCTTTGCTGCCCTAAACTGGGAATGGGTTTTCCAAACCATGATCCCTTGGCTCGCTGTTGCGATTCTCCTCACAGAAATCCCACACGCAACTCGTCAGTCGGACAAAGCTCGAGCGCAAAAGCAAATCAATGAAGTTTTTCTAACTTTCTCGAATCCAAACCTGCCAATTTCAAAAACACAGATGTGGAATATCCTTGTCCAACTCCGGCAGAACATGGAAAATCCACATCCAGAGCCCAACTCAAATACTGCGCTTGTGGAAAATTGCACCACAAACACATTGTTTTCCGACGATCTAATGCTGGATCTCGACTCCGCAGCAGGTGAATACAGTGATTTTATGCTTCAGGATATTAATAGATCTCCGCTCTGGTAATTCCGTGATCCGGGAAGGCAACGTGAGCAGATAGCTAGGTCGGTATCCTCAAACCGGTCTGTGAATAATTGCCAGCCTCTCAAATGGTTGTCATGGTTGGACAGGAGCTCTTGCTCACGCAGCACCCTCGCCTCTCATCACAATTCAGCAGACAAAACTACGCTTCTTTCCTCGGATTTGCCCATTTCCCAATGCATAACACCGAGAATATTCACACAAGGTCACATCCAACTCCAGCCGCTGACAAAAATTTATCTATTGGTCATTACGCCGCTCAGACGAAATTCTTCAGCCATTCACTCCAGATCGGGTATCAAGCCAACAAAGTTCTTCAGCTTGCGCCGTAAAGCGTTCTTCCTATAGAAGTCAATTTCTGCTAATTCACTCCTGCTGCTGCTTCCCAAAACTACAATTTGAGGCTCATAGCGGAATCTCAGTTGATAGACAGAACACAGCTCTCAAAAGATTTCAAAATGTCAAATCGTTGGAGTGTCCTTGCTTTGATACTCGTCGTTTGTTGTCTATCTCACTTGACTGAATGTCTGGCGTCATCAACGCCAAGAAAAGAGAGGGATGCCTTGAGCTCTGATATAGTAAGCGCGCCGCTCTCTGAACCATAATGCTGCTAACTTTGAAACAAAGTGCAGTACTCTTGCAAACCAGTTTCCAGGAAAGGTCGAGCTGCCTACAGACGCCGAGTACGCTTCAAACTTATTGACTTACTACTCCGAGCAAGAGCAAAAAGTTCATCCGGCTTGCATCATTTCTCCAAACAGCACGCTGGAAGTGTCAGCGATCATCAACAGCATCCGAGAGCACAACGCCACCTTTGCCATTCGAAGTGGCGGCCATGCTCTGAATGCTGGAGCAGCCAACATTGAGAACGGTGTTACTATCAATCTTCGGGCCATGAACGCTCTTACAACCGACGCTGCAGGTGCTCGAGTTTACATTGGACCTGGTCTTAAGTGGACAGAAATCTATGCAAGGCTAGATCGTCTGGGTCTGGTAATACCTGGTGGAAGAGATGGAGATGTTGGTGTAGGTGGCCTTCTCACAGGAGGTAATATACAGGTCTTAACTAGAGTGTCAATCGGTGCTAATGTATAACTAGGTGGTATCTCTTTCTTCAGTGGGCGGTTTGGTTGGGCTTGTGACAGTGTCGACAATTTTGAGGTCGTCGTTGCCAGTGGGGCCATCATCAATGCCAACGCCTATGAGAACAGTGACTTATTTCAAGCACTGAAGGGCGGCTCAAACAATTTTGGCATTGTTACCCGTTTCGACGTCAGAGCATTTCCTCTGAAGGAATTTTATGGTGGCCAAATTATTACGCCTGAAATTCCGGGGGTACCATCCACGGTGCCGGGAAAGATTAAAGGGTTTGCCGATCTTCTCGCCAACAGAGACCCATATGCTGCAGTCATTCTCAACTTCGGATGGACTCCTCAAGTCACATTTGTTAGCACTGTTCTTCAGTATACCAAACCAGGCGTCGTTGATCCACCTGTTTTTGCACCATTCACACATGCTCCAGATCCCGTCCATCTAATTGACTCTGTGAGAGTAGCAAACTTATCTTCGTTTGCAGCAGAGCTTTCTGCGAGTCCTGGATATGGCTCGAAGTGAGTCTCCATTCTCATCTAAAATATGTCGAGCAAAATCTAACAACATCAGGTATCAATGGGCAACATCGACTTTCACGGGAGACGAAGCTATGATCATAACCGCTCACAAACTCTGGAATGCCTCAATTTCCGCCCTTCCTCCCGGAACCAAAGCAAACTGGTTCGCGGGCGTCCAACTATTTCCAGTCACCGCCTCTCAGCCTAACGCCTTTGGCATTCCCAACAGCTCAGAATCCTCCAAACTAGCAGTATTCCTCCTCATCTACTTCGGGTACTCAGCTGAAGAAGAAGCTGCTATCACAAAAATCGCGCAAAAACTCATCGCAGATATCGAGGCGGCAGCGAAGAAGGCAGGAAAGTATAATGCATTTAAGTACTTGAATTACGCTGCATATTGGCAGGATCCGATTTCAGCGTATGGAAATCTGGCGGCGATGAGGGAGGTTAGTAAGGTTTACGATCCTAGTGGACTCTTTCAAAAGAATTGTCCTGGTGGGTTTAAGATTCCGGTTTTGTAATATGAAGTTGGTACGTCACTGGCGTGTATTAAGCCCATAATACATTAAATCCACATTACATCACAATCTCTCCGTCGATAAAATGTCCTTCGTAACTTACAAATCCACACTCAACAGCCTAATTCGGCCCATTCCCCCCCAAAAACGGCACAACAGGTGGTCTGATCTCCAAACCAGTAGGACCGCACTTCGTCCCCTCCCTCCTATAAATCTCCCCCAACTTCCAATCCGGATTCTGCCATCCGTCATCCACGCACTGAAATGGCACTATCCCTCGACCAGCACCCATATACCGTTTCCTAGCAATCTCATTAGCATCCCCAACCAACACAACACATAAAACCTCAGAAATTGCGAAATAGAACTCAGACTCACGCCAAACACCCATCCACACAAACCCAATTCGCATTAAAATAAACTTCTTTCGTCCCAGCATTCCACGTCCAAGTCGCCTGCGCCGTCGCATCCCCATTAGAAGCCGTGCATGTATACGCCTGGTCCCCGTTGAAATAGGTCGGGTAGGAGCTGCTTCCCGCGCTGCAGGTGTAGGTATACGGAACGGCGTTTGAGGATAGGGAGAAGGAGAAGGAAGCGTAGGCGGTGGCGAGGTGGGCGGGGGTCGAGTAGATGGCTGTGCTGGTGTAGGTGATGTTTGTGAGGGTCCAGATTGTGGGGGTGGTGCAGGGGAGGATGGCGGGGGTTGTTGGGGTGCAGATTGGGGTTGCGGTGGTGAGGGGTAGGAGAGGGAGAAGGGGGAGGAGAAGGGCGATGGGGGTCATTGTTGGCTTGGGGGGGTTCTTTGAGGTGACGGTTAGGGTTGAGGGTTGAGGGGGCAGATTGTGGTTTCGGTCCTGTCGAGGTGAGTAGAGGTACCTTTTTATGTCTTATATCCGTTGAGGAGTTACGAGAGATGCATTATACATTTTTTGGAAGTTACGACAGATGCATAAGGCTCGTATGATTGCATGTATGGCTATTCTTTGGTTCGTCCGGGTAATCTCCTTGTGTAGCCCCCAACTGTCTGATGATCTACAGTGATACCACCTTAACCTCGTGTTGGTTTTCTAAATAGACATAAATGTGGTATGATGTGCTGTCTATGTAACTGAAAGTTATACGGCTTTTCTCCAGATCTGACATCAGAGCTAACAGGTTGCAGCAACGTTATGGTTTTGGTAATGCGAGGACACTTCTGCAAACGGTGGTCATCGATACTAGCAATTTTGAGGAGGTTCGTGTGGATATGAAATGGTACGACCACTTGGATAGAAACTGGGAAGCCCGAGTAAGATCATATTTGTTTCTGGTTGTTTCGATATCTTGGTGTAACCCTGCGACACGCACAAGTAGGATTAACAAGGCAACATGACATATAGGATCGTATGGAGTTGCAGCGGCTCATACATGCAGAAATCGAAAGTTCTGATGCGGATGGAGAGTAAGTGCGTGTTATTAAGTCTGATTGTCTGATATGCAACGAAACATGCCTGCTTAAGCTGAATGGGTGATCCTTCGTGGGAAGCGCAAGATTTATAGACTTCACAGATGGGATAGTAGCGCTGCCGACAGGTAAAGGCTCTCTATTTCTAGTGTGATAAGCTAAGTATTTGAGTAACGACTGATAACCGCACAACCCATCAAAACAAGAAACAGAGTTCTGAAATGTACATACGAGTAGCGGGTATCAGATGTAGCAAAATCAAAGCAAATCCCGAAAATTGCAACTCCCCCAAACGAACTTGAGAAACCATAGCCACCAAATGCTCCTGCTAAAAGCCAGCAAATCTAATGTTAAAATATGAAATGTCCGTCCATCTTATGTATTTTCCCGCATCTCCGAGTCTAGTCATAGTCGTATTCATAACCTACAAGATCATCATTCTTGTCGTGAGGTTTTTCAAGCTCCTGATATTGCGACATAAGATGCGCCACATTCTGGTAACTTCCGAGCTTCGGTGCAATTGCTTTCAATCCCGCCAAAGTACCAGGAGGAGCTGCTAGATTATCGGTATCCTGCCAGTCCGCCCGACAATATGGACAAGTAACTCGACCGCCATTCTTACTCCGCTTCCATTGATCGATACAGTCAGCGTGAAAGTTTTGGCCACAAGCTGCTTTGCACCAGACGATACCCTCATCCTCTTCCATGCTGCAGACACAAATTGGACAGTCGACGTCAAGCGGCTTACGTTTTCGGTTGTGCAATGAGTCGTCTTCGATGTGTTTATGAGGTTCAAAAACGGGTGCTTGAGTGACAGGTGCATTGGCAAAAATGAGCTCTAGTTCGGTAGAGAGGAAGGCTTGTTGGTAGCAAAGTTGTGGAGGAGCCTTGAGAATTTTGATCAACGCATCTGTGGAAATTAGCGAGATCCTCAAGGGCTTAGTTGTTACTGACAGTTGATATGCTTGCACTTTTGGCCTCTAATACGCTATCGAAAATTAGCACAAGAGCTGTAGAAAGCTAGCCCACACTTACTGCATCCATGCAAACACAATTTGGACTCCGGCCAATCGTTGTTTGATAAACGTTTCCTGTACTGCCCGCAATATCGAACGTCTCACAGAGATATCCATCTCTATCAAGTCCTCTCCTACGATCAAGCATAAACATACGATCCTTTTGGATTCTCTTCAATTTGTCTTTGAACTTGGCATCAGGTGCTTCAACGAACGGTCTCAAACGTTGTTCGCCGCCAAATCCAGCAACATCGAATGTGACATCCTCATCTTCTAGGTCAATGACATTATTTTCCGTGAGCGCAGGGTGTTGAGATTGGGTTCTGGCTCGTTTGGTTTGTGGCTCTTGTTGTCGACAGGTTTCAGCGTGTTCTAGCAGGCGTGCTAGAAGTTCTGCTTTACGACCGGATCTTCGCAGACCACGAAGTTCTAATTCATATTTCAATTGAGGAACAGTTAAGTTGCTAAAATCGTCGGTCTTGTCATCTATATTGGCCATATTAGTCGAATATTGATAGGCAAGAGCGGCGTTAGGGCATATCAATATCATTAAGGCCGGTCGTAAGTGACAGAATAGGTTGTACATACCAATCGGCCCTTGCACTCCGCCATTATCATAATCATTTCCAGCCTCTTCAACTTGCTGAACTGCCTTACGCTTCGTCATTTCATGAATTGCGGGGTGATGCGCAATCGTCTTCTATCGTTCACGACAATGGGTATCAAAGTCGTCAGAAAAAGAATGACGACCTTGCAAGTTGAGAGATGCAGAGAAGACTAAATAATCAAGAAGGGCGAAAGGAAAGGGAAGGGATGAACAATTGAAGGAGAAGAAGAACAAACAACCCCTGCGCGTTTCCGAGGACACCAACATAGCACGAGATCACATGATACACAACCACCCCCTCCCTTTCTAGGCAGCGACTGGTGCCTTCCGGATTAGAACACCAGGTCGTGCGAATATAGAATCTACATCACGTTTCTCTTAATCTCCATTCTTCAAGCTGTTATGGAAATTTAATTCAATCCGGAATTTAGCCAAACGGTCTAGCTAGCCAAGGATTAACAGACAAGTTTCGTTCGAGAGTCTGAGAACATCTGTAATACTTGTAATCAAAAGAAAGCCAAGAAACGATTCTAAAGTCAAGCGATTTTTCTAGTCATTGCGATTAACTTTCCTAAAGTTTCTAATAGAGATTTCTGATCACGTCTAGCTTCTTCACTTTGACAGTGTCACTTAATAGTAGTAATAAACGAGTTCCTTCAGCTTCTAGAAGGGTTAGGAGTAACTCTTGTATCTTGCTATATCCCTTTAGACATCAGATTTATAGCAGAGTTATTCTCATCACATTATAAAATCTACTTCACACCCTCAACCAACCTAACACGCACCTCATGTCCCTCTCTCCCATCATTAACAACCCTCTCCAACTCCCGCACCCACCTCCTCCTCTTTCCTTCCCCCTCCCCTCCCCCCGCATCAACACAAACATCCACCCACCTCAACCCCTCAATCCCCGTCAGTGACTCAACCCACTCCCACCCCCAATCCCTCCCGACCCAGCAACTAACACCCAATCTCACACCTCTCACCCCCTTCCAACCCCAACAAAACTCCCTCCACTCCGCACCCAGTACATCATTTCCCACAACCCTCACATCCACAACCCTAACCGCATCCCTCTGCCACTCTTTTAACGCCCTCCAAAACCGGTTCGCCGCGCGCAAACCTGAGCCATACCGATTCACAAAAACCCACGTATTAACCTCAAATGGGAGCGTTCGTGCTTCCAAGTAGATTTGGTGATTGGTGAGGAGGAGCGCGGTAGGTATGTAACCGATGGAGAAGGAGTGGTCGGTGTACGATAGGCCTTGGGGTTTGAGGGCCTGGTTAAGCCTTTCGTGAGGTTTAAGAGGGAAGAGATTGGGGTGTGGGGGAGGCGTAATGTCGGGGTGTTTTAGGGGATGGACGTTGAGGATGAGGATGTATATTAGGCGACGGATTTCCGGGGGTAAGCAGAGAAAGGTTGTGGATTTGGTGGGTCGTGTTTTCGATGAAGGGAGAGTAAGTGGTGAGATAATGTCGGGCCCTAGGGTGGTGGTTGTCGCTGTGGAAAGAAGAGGTTTTGCTGGGAGGGTGAAGATCTCCTGAGGATTATGAGTTGGATAGATAGTCTTGCTTTGCTGGAAGGTGACGTGACTTTGTCTGTTGGGAACTGTGAGGGTGAACGGTGCTTTGATGCTGGCCAGCTGGGCCACCGATACCGCTGCCATAACTTGAGTGGTGGTGTTCCTGAACAAGGAAGCAGCGTTGTGTCACCGGCTTTCTAGAATCAACGGACGTATGAATGGTACCCCTGAGTTCTAGAGTCCGAATTGTATGCAAATAGTTTAGGTTTGTGTGTGCTTTGAGTCCGAATTATTGGTGTCTATAACTCAAGAAGTTGTTCGGCCTTCCTCATTATCAAAAGTGGTATAAATCGCGTGCGATCAATATACTCTTTTGAGCCCCGAAATCAAAACAGAAACTGTCTTGACGGGTCCGAAGAGAGTGTATTTGGGATGCTAGTGTGGAAATAATTTTGATGCTCTCAAGAGACGCCTAGATCTCTCGCAAGGTCAAGCCTTGGATCACGAAGTACGAAATCGGATGCAATGGCAGAGCTCAGAATATAAGAAAATATGCTGGTGACCACAGGAATACAAGAATTAGACTAATTGTTGCCGACGATGTCGCGCGACGAGGAAAGATGAAATCCCAGAGTGGAAAAAGAGCGATCGAAGAGAGAAGATGAGTAAAGATTTTTCTGGCAGTGAGGTCTACTTAGGTATTTGATAACCGCGCAGAAGCGAATTGCGGGCTTTACAAGTCGGGGACCTCTCGTCAGCCGCAAGACGAAACAACCTTGATGACTGGCTGAAAATCAAATTGCGGATATTGATTGGCACAAGGTTCTTGGTCCTTCTTTGGCTACAATCCACCGTGAGGTTTGACTCGAAATTAATGAATGACATTAAATGATTCGAGTCAGGAAGACTTTTGTTGATCACGAATGCGCGACAGCAAACCCAGTGTCATTCACGTGACCCATCATATCTTAATCGAGATACCGTATCAGATGCCAGGATACCAACAATTTGATTGGTAGGTCATCGAAATATCGAAATATGACATGACCAGGATGAGATTCCTATCTTTCTATGTCCCCCAGACAAGGAATGATCACATGATTCAAGTGTGGTCCGGCGGTTGCATATGGTCACACCAAGTCGGTAGGACAACATATTCGGACCCTGGCTTCCAGAAACAGATCCTCCGTTGGTATAACGACCAATCCTTATTTTCCCACCTCCCGCGACTGACGACTATTTAAAGTGTAGCTGATCTGCAGTGAGATGCGACAAGCTTGTGTGATAAGCTGGTGTGGGCAAACCAGGTGTGTGGCTTGCCATACTTTGGTAATGTGAAATTGTTGCAATTCTGCTGGGTTCCAAATATGCACTCAGATATGCAGCCATTAGGCATGCGGGTGAAGGGATGACGGTCGGTGTTTGAGGGTGGTGATGGCGCTTGCCAGCCGATTCGTCGCTGGGACTAAAGGAGGATCAACGTCGTGTCGCAAGTCCCAGCTGTAGACCTTCCTGCAGAAGACTTATATGCTTCGAGCCGTGTTGGTCTCGGATGATTCTGGATTGGCTCAAGAGCGATCGAGATCACCATCATCGATATTTACTGGACCATGTCGAGGTGAGGCACGAAGTTCCCAAATAATGCATCTCCATGGATGACGTGCCTCATTTCGCTTTCTTCCCTACGCTCCATACAGTATTGAGAGTGCTAGGGGGTGCTGCCGGTGCTGAAGTTGCACCATTTGTAGCAAATCGCAGTATGTCGTCTTCGGTCCGGACCAACGCGTTCGGGTTCTTTCTCACAGTTCCCATACCAAATTCAACCGGCCGAGTAGGAGCCGTATCCAATCCAGCATCCTCCATTTCCTCATCTTCACTTCCTTCTTCTTCGCTAGATTCTTCCTCTTCTGATGCAATCTTCGGTGGCTTCAGGTCGATCTTTCTGCGCAATCCAGTCCTAACATTCTCAACCCCGGCGATTCTTTCATCTTGGGTGAAGTTTTCTACCATTTCCGACTGGGCAGCCGTGGCTACACGCTGATGAATCCAACCTGCCGCCCAATCTGCGAATTCTTCATTCTCCTGGCTCACAGCTTTGGGGTTCTTGATCTCGATCTCGCGTGCTTCTTCTACCAAAGCTTCGACGGGTGGTTCTAGCTTTTTCCGCAAAAGCATACCGAGCAGCCCTTCTTGCTCGCGTCCTGGATAATTGGTGGATGGATAGACGACGACTTTGTTCATCAATTCGGAATGTTCTGCTAGATGCCGCGTGATGCTATCCATGTAGTTCGAAAGCATGGCGGTGGTGACTTGGAGCGATGACCTAGGCAAAAGTCGCGGTCAGCATTGCGACGATTATGATATCGATGATCGACAGAAGAAGGGAAGGCCGATGGTCCGAATGGAGCAAGGACATGACAGATTACTGCGGGTGGCTTACCATTGTGGTAGAGGATGTGTTCGTGCTAGATCGTTCTTGAGCGACTGAATGCTGCTGGTGAGCTGAAAGAATTTCTGTCGTGTCGCATCGAGAGCTTTGAGCTCCTCGGGAGTGAGGCTGGCATATGCCATATTGGACTGAGAGTGGTGCTCCCCGAGGTAATCTCGATCTGATCGACGATGAGGCGTTTCTGTCTGTACTCAGACGAGAGGAGCGTCAGGGAATTGCTATCGTAGGGTGTCTGTGACTGCTACTCTCGGTCTTCTTTCGTACTCTGTATACGGCAAGCGACGTCGAATTGACGGTGAGAGGGCTGGGCCCGTGTTCGGGGTCTCCAATTGATATAGTGTTGGCGGTTGTGATTAGGTGCAGGTGGTGTGTCTGTGATAGTGCTGTGGTGCTCTGCGTATATCTCGAATGGGCGTTCGTTGGTGCTATACCGGTAGTGCGGTGCTTAGCTTGATGAAGCTGACGATGTTTCTGTTTCTGTTCCTGTCCGGTCTGTTTCTCCGTCTGCAAGGGCGAGATATCGTGGTGGGGCGGGGAGAGTTCTGTAGTTTCCGAAGAGCAAAGTCTTCAGACCCTAGCCTTGCAGCTGGCCTCGGCTCAGTTTGATAATAGCCTGATCAGGCATCAAGTTTCTTTCAGGCACCATAACTTAACGACCACCGTGAACGGTCGACTTTCTCAACTTTCGCGTCCTACCCTCCCTCACCGTATGCATACGTCCCCGTTCCGAATTCAACAATAACCAACATTTCCACTCTGCAACTCTCATCTCATCTTTCGTCCCAAAATGGTCCTGTGTCACTAGAGTTTCCGCTGCGCACTCTGATATTGCCACAAGAACTCCCAATACCACCTTCAATGTTACGCTAGGCACGCGCTTGTGGGGTGATATTTTCTCCGCAATACGACTGACTTCCGTCTTGCGACTCGACGTCCGTTATCTACCTTCCCTTTTGCATCACATCCTTTCCGGATTCCTCGAAGCACTTGCACTCTTGACGACGACCCCGCCACACACCCGCGATGCTCGATCAGATCTTCAGCCTTCGCCATCGTGCTCGCTTTGCCGCTCGCGTACAGATAAGCATCACAGACGCCATTCCGCTGTTGTTCGGTCGCGCAGGCCAGCCGCTGTGTTGCTGAGTACCTATACCACGTCCGATAATCATCATGGGAGTCTGGACTCTGGACGTGCGCCCACCTACACCAACCATCGTCCCCTTCCAACCTTAAATCGTCTCCCCTAGTACATTCGGCCCTGACCGTTTTTGGCAGTCCAAGTGTGGAGGGGTTGCGAGCACTACCAAGCACGTCTAGGGTTGATAATGGGCCGTTTTGGTCTTCATACATATGCTCCCTTGCAGCAACATCTGCACCATGACCTCCCGCGGCAACACCAACAAACTTGCCCCGCCGAACGACTTATCAAGCCTCTCAATCGAGTCACTTCCCTAGCAAGTTAATGCCACCTCTATACAGGAACGAGCAGACCAACACGCACTCCTGCTATCAACTCGCCATCATGGATTCTAGTCAGCAGTTGTCCCTCAATTGCCCCTCCTTTCTTCCACGATCCATGTCTATACAACTGCAGGTGCGGTACACACGTACTTGCTAAGCGCTTCCGGAGCAGAAGACCTCGATTCTTCTCTAAGACATCCGAATCTGTCCTGGAGCAACAATTTTCATGGGATCTTTGAGCAATCTGCTTTCCGCCATCCTCTTCTCCGAGACCAACACCATACTAGAGTCCTTTCGCCCTTTTGTTCCGTTTCAGGTAGACGACCCCAAAACACCGATCGTTCAGGAACAGGAATCGTTTCCATCGAGGTGTAAGCCACGGTGCGTCTGCATGAAGCATATCGACTCGTCACATTCTTTACTCGTGGCCGATCCCGAAATCAGAAAACCTCTATGTATCTGTCGAACCGTTTTGCCTGCTGGCGCCCCACCCGCGAATAATATGGTTCAGCCCACCCCCTACATGAGACATCATTCATGTTTGCTTTACCTTTACGCATGTTACCTCCCGTTAACCTGGAGCCTGTAGAATGTTTTGTTTGCTGGAACGGTATGGCGGAAACGTCTTCCTAACAAGTTATAGGTCTCGGAAGACTCGCAATTCCCACTTTTTCAGTCTTAGCTCGGCCATTTAGTCGGACCGGCACGCCTTTGTGAAATTGTTGACGATGTTCCACTTGCCTTGCAATTGCTCATTATTTGCCCTACCCTTTTTTTTATATCAACCAGGAAGTGTGACGGAGGTGGGGATCCCGGGTCAAGTGCCGGCGCTCACCATCCGCCAGCAATGTGACAGCAAAACTGCATGTCAAGGGCTTATAACGATGATCTTCTATCACGTGCAGAAAAAAGCAGGCTATGTTGCCATCTTCAAGTCCGGTATCGATCTGAAGTTTTCAGATTTGTGGACCCTATATATAGGTTTGTTGGAGTGTATTCTACCATGCCACGTGGCAGGGTTTAAAACTACTCGTCGGAATTTTGTTCCTACTTATATGCGGTCATATTGTCTCTCCCAGCATTTTGAAACCATCACTTTTTGAGACTTGCTTTCTTTTCTGGTGTTCCGGGCTGTTTGCTGATTGCTGATTTACCATGAGCCTGCTTCCGACCTTGGCTATATCTGATTACACATTATTGAGTCGTCTTACTTCTCGAGTCATCGTACTTCTTGTGGTGATTTTCTGTAACGGGGAGGATTCACATGATGTTTAATAAGACAACAATCTCATTCACACCTCTTCACACTCTAGTGTAAGATAAATAATTACCCACAACAATCCTCCAAATCCTTCTCATGTTGCTCTCTCACACCACCACCACTCCCAAGACACACACTTTTCATGACAACATGGGCTACCTCGATGTTACGAACCAAAACTCGACGAATGGTCTCCTGGGTACTGGCTCTGTTGTTTCCAAATTGTTACCAAATACACTATACCTCACCTTTAATGCTCCATGTGTGGATGATTATGTGAGTCGTCCACCAATCAATTCTCACTGTTTTTATTTTACTAACAAAATTATAGCATCGCGGACTCTTCATCACCTATCCACCGATCTTATGTGATCTAGATGGCCCGACGAGCGGTATTCTTTTCCATGCGACATACATCGACTCCAAGTGGGTGCTAGAGCAGCGCGACATCCGAGACGTTTCTGCTTCAAAAAGTCTCGTCTTACTTTATCACTTGCATACGATCTCAGCACCATCGGACGAACAGCTCTTCAACTCGTACGAGAAGATGCAAAAGGTGGTCCAAAACGTACCAATGGGTCGGAAAGCTCGAGAAGACGCGTACGGTGAGACTAGAGCTGGGAATCCAGAGTTGGATGGCTACGACTGCGTCATCTGGACAGGTGATGCGATGAGAGCGTTGATCAAAGAGGGCTTGATCGATCTACAAGGTCGAGATGTTGGTTCGTACTCTCTTCCATCCCGTTACCCAATTGTTGGCTCTTCAGGAAACAGATCCAGCGCTAACGATGCGGTTGCACTTGTAGAAGAGGTCATGGCGGAAGCTCGATCTTTAGCTGGACCCGAGGACGCTAAGACGATGGTGGGGGTAGACTTTGGAGGGCTGAAAATCATGTGATGAACAAAGGCTATCCCCTGATAGGCTTCTGCATGACTTGGTTTTTGGTTTCCTGGGATCGTTTCCTGGGGTTTACGTTTTCTGGGGTACGGCGTGCCAAGTAATTTTCTGACTTTCTTGCTGTTTTGCTTTTTCCCAAGAAGCGCCGAATGCCTACATGGTTCTTCTTGCTCGCGTGCGTGGAGGTGTTTCAGGCGCTGCTTTTCTAGGGGGGTTGGGCGGGTAAAAAAGAAACATTACCACACGTTACTTGTTACTTGCTTTTTTGGTACTTTGATTTTGCTTTTTTTTGGTCCTCACATTTGGATAGATTATTTGCAACTCTTCATTTTGAGAGTCCTCAAGAATATCAGGTTTTGGAAGGTTATGGTCTAGAACAAATTAATAGAAGAGCAGTCATCAATACCCAATCACTGATACCTATGGCGTTGGGCTATGGCACTTTTTCCTTTTTCCCGATCCCGAATCGAAGGGGAACTCGTTCGCACTAATGTATCTCGGATGGAACCCGAGGCCGGGGTCAATCTGTTATACCGGATTTGGTGGGTTGATGGGAGGGGAGGGGAGTGGTGCGCGTGTATGGGATGACTGTGTGAGTTATACGTGAGGAGATTTGTTGGTGTCTGTGTGTATGTGTGAGAAAGGTTCGGGTTGGAACTTGGATGTGTTGGGGAAAAGAGGATGAGTTGGATGAGGGGGGAAGGTTTGGTGAGAACATAGAAGGCGATTGGGAGGGTTTGGGTGGATGCGGATGGGGAGGGATGCGGAAGGGGGGTGACGCTTCCCCGGGTTGGAGGAACGTGGTTGCCATGTGGGTGGAGGGATCATGGGTTGGGATTTGGGGTCCGTGGTTTGGGTGAGATATAGGGCTGTCTACTTTATATAACCTAGTTAACGTTATGATAATATATAATATAACGATATATTAACGTTATACTTTAGATTATGGATATCTGAGGCAGAACTTTTCCTGACCAATCGGAGGGCTTGGAACAACTAATAATCCGAGATACCACCAGTAATTTCTACTCAACTTTGGTTTCCTCCCTTATCCAAAATTTTTCATCGACAGCTTTGATGGATTCTGAGCGTTCATAACTTTTTATAATATTACATTACGGAAGCATAGAAATCCTGGTGTAAGCCACCAAGTTCTTGATGTAAAATGAATGCTAAAGTAATTATATTAATGACTTTTCATCAATTCATCGTGAAATAGTACTTTGCACGATGCACGCATCGAAAACTGGGTGTGTGCCACCAGGGTTTTTATGAATAGGTTATGCGTAGTATCCATATACTTATGCATGAAAAAACTCGATTTTATCGTTATTATATAATTATAACCCTTAACGTTATAGTATGGATTATATAATAATAACTGCCCATCCCTAGTGAGATATGAGCATTGGGAGTGAGGTTTGCTTTTTCTTTGGACGTGATGTGGTGAGTAAGTGACTTGTGAGATTGGATGAGGGTGAGATGTGAGGAAGATACGAGGACATGCGAGGTTGAGGTCGCGATGGTGAGGAAGGTGAGCCGATTAGCTGAGGGGTGAACTCTGTTAAGTGAGAATTGGTGGATGAGATTTGAGGGCTGAAATGTGAGTGAATAGTGAGAGTAGGTAAGGAGTGAAAGGCTAAGGGTTCTTGTAGTATTGGGGAATGTTAAGGGATGAGATAAAGACGGGACGAGATTATGGGAATGGGTTTGGCAGAGAGATCTAACTATTGCCCGTTCTCAGCCGGTGTCTTTTCGAAAGATCAAAACAGGATACCCATTCTCCATGACTTTACTAATCAAATGCTAGATTCTAGATCTCAGATGAGCTGATATGTGCGTGTTGCATGTTGCGCTTGGCTTTCTGGAATAGATACTAATCCTGATTCCATTGAGACTTTGCAGATCTCGCTCAATGTTTTCTATATGCCCTGACGAGGGCTTTAAATAGGCTCTGCTGATTTGGTTTGTTCAAGGGTGGTCGAGTTCGACCTATTTTTACGACAATATGAAGCTATTCCCAACTCTCATCACCAATTTAGAGAGTGGTCGTCAGATTGCAACACATTTGAGGGGCTAGTAGAGAAGTCGATTCTTGAGATTTCTGCAAGAGTGCTCTTTCCCATCACGCCCATGTCAAGTAGTGATGTAATCATATTGGCGGCTTTACGTATCTCACGAGGCAGGAGCTATTATGTTGAACTTGGCACGTGAAGCGCGTGCGTAGCGTGTCGACATCACGTCGGATTGGGAATCCTTCAACCATCAAACCATACAATCAACGTTTTGATACTGTCGGTTTCAACATTCTTGATTGTAACCAGAGATCTCCAAGACCTTCGAAATTGTTATTACGAAGCAAGATCGAAAGTTAGCAACTTGATCTTCAGCCAGTTCCGCCAGAAGATCTTCTGCCAGGCTGAGAGACCATGGCGGAAAAGAGAGCATTTGAATGCTTTGGCAGACTACCAGAGTATCTGCGAACCAAGATATACGAGTATGCTTGTTCTGTTTCCAGAATTGTCGACGTCCAAGAAATTTTTCTCAACCCAGATTTTCCATCTTACTATCCACCATACATAGCTACACACTTCAGAGGCGGTCGAGAATGTGCTGTCATTTCAGAAACGCGTCCACCAGCAATCCTCAATGTTTCGAAAGAAGCTCGAGCATATACTTTGACAAAGTATACTGCTATAGACGAAAAGATCCTGTCCAAGAAGGGCGATGAAGAAGTCAACAAGAGTCCTGTGTATGTTAACTCGGATGTCGATATCGTGTATCGTGGCAAGGGCCCATGCAGTACATCACACGCTTTCGCTATGAAACACGAATGTTTAGAGGATTTTCTGGTACCAGTGGCTTTTAGCAAAGTGTTAGCTGTGGATATCTACGGCATTATTCCTCATGACATGGCTTGGTTAGAAAGATTTTACAGAAAGCGAGGATATGATGAGAAAACGGCCAAATTAATGCCGGAGTTGGAGTATTATGAAGAACGGGGTTGGGAGATTGCGTATTTAGCACGAAAAGGTGTCACCGAAATTATCATCATACTCGACAACGATGACAATATGACGGACTTCGAGCTGTGTGATTTACAATCTAATGAGCAGAGTTGGACACCTCGAGAAAAAGGGGCATATCTAGAGCTTGAGAGGCTAAAACGCCAGATCCATTGTGCCTGGTCCGGCTTTGAGGATGAAGATCCTGAGTTAATTGAGGGCTTGAGCATTCCTAAGATTACGGTTGGTCTCGAATATCAACTCGCTGTCTCAACTCGCTGATATCGAAAGGTCAAAAAGCTGAAACGCGCTCCGTTGCGACTGTTCCATCAATTCACCAAACTGCCCTTAGAATTACAAAACATGATATGGCGATATTCGGTGTCGGTTCCACGAGTTCATTCGATAACCAGCTCTAACCATTGTCTCAATTTACGTACCTTTCGTGCTCCTCCGCTGCTATTCGTATGCAGAGCGACTCGCTCAATGATGCAAAACTTGCTTGATCGTCAATTCAAACCGTTACCTTACAAGGAAGCATTTCGTATGGGGGATTATCCGTACTACAACCCATCTTTAGATACTGTTCGCCTCGAGCTAGCTGATGACGACAAACTACGAGACTTAGCCAGCATTGACTTTGAGATTCGATCTATGGGGATTCCATTTCACTTAATTGACGGCGAGGTTTGGAGAGCAATCGGCGCAGATATCCGACACTTCCATAGCCTCCGCGAGATAGTCTTTGTGCTCGGACGAACCCGTGCAAATTGCGAGATGGAGCTTGTGTATGTTGATGAGAACTCCCCAGAGGTCACGCAGAGATATCCTCATAATCCTAATGGTAGAGCCGGGGTCCGCGAATTTGTCCGAGCCTTTAAAGCGGAATTGGCGTCAAGACACAAGAAGTGGGAATTAAATCAATGCCGACGTGCAGACAAGAGTAAATCAACTAAACATTGGAATCTTCCCGAGGTCAAAGTTGCTTTTTTAAAAGCTCTATGTACCAGCACTTCTCCTTACTCTTACGTTAATCGTTTCCCAGAGAGAGCCGACTTTCCAGAGGAGCTGCCGTGGGGTGACATTCATTGAGTCCGGAAATAGTCTGGCAATTTACTTGATGTTTTGGGAGAGGAAAGCAGTCGATTGAGAGAGAACATATATTGCTTTTATGTGGAGATGAGGGGTCCTACTATGTTGCTTCAGATGTTGATTCATGATTCATGTTAATTGGCAGCTTGTAGAGTGTTGGAGCTGAAAAACTGCGGTTGCTTTTCTTGGCCTTATTTCAAACTAGCTAGCTCTCTATATTTAGAACAAGAATTGCAAGCAGAGACAAATCGTACACTTCAGATCGTATCATGCCTTTGACCTATTGCAGAGATGTTAGTTCAGTCAAAGATGAAGATTTCATAGGAAGTCACCAGATGGATATCAAAATAGTACTCGATATCGAAGGTGGTCAAGGGAACCTTTCTTTTCAGTGAGACGCAACTCTTAAATCATTACGGACAGCTACTTGATTAACTCAGCAACGTTTTGTACATCCTTATACAAAGAATTTAGAGAATCTGACTTAATAAATGTGGCTTGCTCGCCTAGCAAGCCTCAAACTCGTGAGTGGTTGAGTACTTCTTCCGATACATGGCATAGAGCTGACCCTCTAGGTTTCTTTTTCGACAGCCTCATCCCCCAGATTTTGGATCTCATCAAGCAAATTGACAGAATCGAGTGACAGTTTACATCAACACCAGCTCAAATATAGCAGAGATGACTGCTACACCACCACGCTACGTCGACTGGGTTTCTGGATGGATAGAAACTTGCAACCACCTCCATGGAGACAAGTGTATGCCAAGTCCCCTCTCTGAGCGACCACCAGAAGACGTTCCTCGCTGGCTCATGGACACCCATCAGCAGTGCATCGTCCCTGGTATTTCCGCACATTGGTATCTTGCACTTAGCTATGTCTGGCCCGAGACTCGGGAGAATTCTGAATCTGTATCTTCAAAGGCACATAGCTTGCTACTCGACAATGCCAGTTTGGAAGAATTCCAACGTCCCGGGTTCCTGAGTAGTGACGATATCATCAAGCGTATCCCGATGGTAATCATACATGCTGCAGAGTTCACTCGACGTTTGGGAGAAAGGTATTTATGGGTTGACAGACTTTGTATCGTGCAGAATGATTCTGGGGATGGAGGGACCTTAAGTCAGGTTGCGAAGATGGATAAAATATACTCTGGAGCTTATCTTACAATCATTGCTGCTGCGCCGGAGGAGATGTATGAGGAGATTTTGGCTTTGGAGTGGCCTTCTTTTGATGAATCGAGGGGTTGGATGGGTTCGTACAAGACCGTTCCGGCCTTTTCGATGTCGGATGATGGCGGGAGTGAAGCGTCTCCTAAATCTCGCTCTATTGGGTCCGACGCCTCTTCTTTCGACTCTTCTGTCGACTCCGCATATCTGGATAGGATGATCATCGAGGCGATGCGTAACAGGTACTCCATGCTTTCGAGATCTAGATGGGCGTCACGAGGATGGACATACCAAGAGCAGATTCTCTGTAAGCGAGCAGTGATTTTCATGGAAGAAGGGTACTTTTGGGACTGCCAGTGCTCTGTTTGGGATGGCGATGCACTTCATCCGGGATTGGAGTTTGGGGGCATCCCGTTGCGTGCTGATATGGGGCAGAGATTTGTCTCTCGATGGTGGCCGGACTTTGGCTTTTACATTGATCTCGTTTGCCCTTATAATGAGCGGGAGTTTAGTTACCCTCAAGATGCTTTGAGAGGATTTATGGGGATCATAAGTGCGCTGGAGAATTCTTTTCCAGGCGGATTTGTATGTGGGTTGCCTCGCCTGTTTCTTGATCATGCGCTTCTGTGGCAACCTTTTGGGATTGCAGATCGTCGTGTGGATCATGTTGATGATGGGACTGCCACTTCCAGCTTACCTTCGTGGTCATGGTGTGGTTGGCAAGGTTATGTCGATCCTTGGAGTCTTCGATCTGGGTTGTCTTATGTTCGCGAGGATGGGTATCGATATAGAGCTGGTAGTTGGCGCACGAGGAATTTAGTCCAATGGCACCTTTCGACAAAAGATTCAATACCAGAGCCGATTCTCGAGCCTGTAGCTTTAGATCAGTATGTCGATACAACTGGAGATGTTAAGCATCAGCTACCAGATGGATGGTCTCACCACAATGATTCGAGTCTAGCTTCTACCACTCATGATATCTCGAATGCCAGCAAAGTATTTACTCACGAGAACGGAGAAGATACTCACTTCAGACATCCGATTCCGCTTACAACTGAGCCACTGAAAAGTAACTTCCCATCCACCCCAACATATCTAACATGCACCACCACAACCGCATTCTTCTTACCCGCCAGCATCTTATCATGTACCGGCGGAGCAACCGACGTCGAAAAAAGCCCATCCCACATATCAGTCTTCGAAGACGAGATATTCAACCACGGTCCTTCTTTCGACAAAGCCTGTCCAATCCTGGTTCTACAGCAACCAAACGGTAAATTCGCCGGCCTCCTACGTCTCACAAGTACCGAAAAGATCAACTAAACCGCCCCATTAGAACTAATTGCCATCTCGACCGGCAGCGCCACAGCTCTCGACTTCCGCTACTCGCTCGAATGGAGGATCTTCGAAACAGGCCTGCATAGATATCGAGCTGGGAATTTGATCAAGATGATTCATTGCCCGTTTGAATGGATAAGTGAGAATGGGAAACGTGCTTTGTTGTGTGACATCGCTATGGTTTTCGATGGCAAGAAGGAAGCAAGTGAGAAAGAAACGCAGGATATGCTTGCGGAAATAGAGCAACGTGCCGATAAGGAAATTGCCGATTGGCTTGCAAGGTTTCCTGAGCACGAGCTGGATGAGCAGTGGCGTTTGAGGGACTGGTCGGATGCGAGACGAGAGTATTTTGAGGAGCGTGGAGACAGGCATGGGGAGGAGGGATTGGTTTGTGAGTTTTATAATGTGCTTTGGGTTGAGTGGAAAGATGGGATTGCGTATCGCCGGGCGTGTGGGTGGGTGCCGAAGTGTGTTTGGGAGGCGAATGCGAAAGGGCCTGTGATTGTGAAGATGGGTTGAAAGGGTGGGGGTGTATAGGGAGGGAGAGAGCAGGATGAGGGAGGTGAAATGTTTGAAATTAAGTGTGTGGTTTTGTTTGGGGGATATCATGTCAGGAGTCTTTGATGTTGAGCATGAGGTTCAGGTATTCCACTTGAACATGCTGAAGAAGTAGCGAGGATTGCTTTTTATATTTAGGCGGGGGAGAATGTGGATGAATTCGCTGAGAAATGGAAGGATACTTGATTACACTATTCGTTTACCCAGCTCTGGCACGAGGGGAGAAGTTGAAGTGATTGCGCAAGGCTGTCTGGTTTTCATATCTGATTAGTGAGTTTTAGATTAAATGAAGTTCATGGTTTCGTAAAGGATGTGGGGTTTGATATAGGTGATAATATTTAGCTAACCACACAATCCTGAAACAATATTTAAGGTCCGAGTCAATCTGCCCATTCACTTGTCACTGACTGAAAATGTAGATCCCATCCCTACAATGCCCATCATCATTTCCTCACTTCCACCCTGCCACATCTCTCATCCCATTCCAACTCTTTTATTCCCGCATCGATCCTTCCTTTCCACCGTAGATTGTTCTTAAGAAATTGCATCTGCGCGATGAAGTCTTCTTGCTTTGGAAGTAGCAAGTGTACCTGTATTTTCTTTCCTGAGTTCGCACTTGAATGAGACGTTTATTCCCCTCTAGCATTGGGTGTGTCTGCGATAGACTGCTGCTATTCGCCAGTTCTGTGGTGACTCGGCGCTGATGTGTTGATGCTTGGATGGCCAATAATTTGTGTCAGATTCCTTAGTGACTAGCTCGTGGTATTTGAATTATTCTTGGTCTTTGAACCTTTTGCTATTGTTGGGGTTGATGTGCAACCACTACAGTCTGTTGCCCGACACGTTTTATAGCCTTTGGACTTGAGCCAAACTCCGCAATCATTCTCATTCCTGCTCGCTTGAATCGAATCCTTTCCTCGAACAATCGAATCACACCAGGTCCTTCCCGTCTCGGCGTCGCACTCTTTGTGCTACTTGGGTCGAGGGTTTTGGTGACATTCCGTTTTGTCGCAAGTTTTGCAAAAGTGGCTCTTTGTCGTTGCAACCTGCTGTCCGTTATGATATATGTTTCCACCCACTCCTATCCTCTCAAGACGGCAGTCCCCCCATCGGCCCCCTCATAGGCATCTCCCTCCTTTCCTGCCACGTCTCACTCTCATTGCTCGCCGTATACGGCTCGGATCTCAAATGCACCGGCGACAGCGGTCTCGAAGTATTAAACCGCGTAGGCTCTGCCTCATCTCGCGTAGGTTCCACGTCCTGCACAAAGCTATCGAGACCAGTAGAATTCGTCGTAAGACTTCCTCCGTCTGAGCGGTTTCGTTGCGACCATTCCTCGGTCTCCATTCGAGATTTCGTTTCGGTGGATACGGTTATGAAGATATCCTCGGCGTGAGGATTCCCTGCTTTACATGTCCCGGTGGTGTAGTTTTGGGGCCAGTGGCGTTTTAGGAAGGCCGGAAGGACGAGGAGGCAGGCGCATAGAAGGCCGGTGTTGATTTCAATGACGCTGATGTTGTTAGAGTCTGGGATGTAGAGTTTTGATGGTAGTAACTTACGACCATGTAGTCACCTTGGTGATCGTCCAAGTGAAATCTTTTGTTTTGTAAATCGAGGTTATCATAAAGATCCTGACGATACTGATAGAACAAGCCCTTTAGAAAGTCAGTTTTGCGATATGCTTCAGTCAATGTGAGCGACCTACGAAAGTCCCAAACTGAACACCGAGATGACTCTAAACTTCCTGCACGCTCGCAAAGGTAAAGCCAGTACAGCAGGAATCGGAACAATCAAGACGTAAATGTCTGTAAACGCGTTTACGGCGCTAGACGAATAAGCTCCAAACCCAGATTTCCTGCATGTTCCTGGTACTTGCCAGTCCCATACTCTGGCGACTGGTGTGCATTGATTTACTTGCAACAAGAACATGGCTATGTAGAGTATGGATACGCCTACGATTCCGAGGTTCACAAAGAAGTTTGTCTTGCCGCTTGTTACGAAGATGGTTCTGTAGAAGAATAGACAGGCTAGCTTCACTATCGCTGCGTAGATGAGGTAGATCCAGATTCCGAGAGTAAATGGCTGTTTAGTTGTTAGTAAATATGTGGGAAGGTATCTTGCCTAAACTACCTGGAATGATGAAGCGCTATTCAGTCGGTCAAAGTCCCATTGGTGACGAGACATTCCGTTCGCGACGGCTTGATATTGTCAGCTATGCTTTAAAAGCGTAATATGATATTGCGTACCTCGTAAGTTTAATCCGGAGTAAACAACTGATAGACACTAGAGCAGAAGACGGTCAGCAATTGATTATGGCAACTTGTTACACAAGCGATCATACCCAAGCGAGAATACACAGATCTGTTGCAAATTAATTAGCTGTGATGCTACGAATAGTACTCAAGGTTACAATACATACAATCATCTATCGCCAGCTTTCGAACAATGAACTTTCTCGTGTATAAGCGCAACGTTAGACTCAATGTCACGATCGTCAGACATGTCGTATGAAGAATGATGACGCCGGTCATCTGGTCTGGTGGATTGATGTAGTTTGATACCGTCCCCGGAGGCGCACCCAGCTCCTCTGGTGTAAGTTGAACCTCTCTCATCGTCGAATGTAGGATTGATTTGTTCCTTTGGCCAATTTACAATATCTGAACACCTCCTGAAGCGCGACCAAACACGAGGCTAACGCGTGGTCGAGAATCGTCTCCGAGGGTGCCGTACTTCAGGCGAGAGTACACAAAGTTGTCAGTATATACATCTGCATTACGTTCGTGATGGTATTGTGTTGAAGAGTCAAGAACGCTCTGGGACAACAATGGATATGGCATTCGAGGTCCCGACTCTCCCAGCGTTTCCAAAGCATGAAGCTGTGCCGCACGAGACACGAGTGACAGATGGCTCGTGAGGCGAGACCACTGGCTGAACAGCCTGGACCCAATCCCGGGAATCATTTGGGATTACCCCGTTGTTTGGCTGAAAACTTACGCCGGGACCTACCGCGTTCCCACTGTCAGGGGCTCTGCAGCGCCATGGGAACGCCATGATCAGGGAGAAATCTGCACGGGAAACTCAAATCACGATGTGCATACTACGAAGTTGTTTGGTGGAGGTGACGATTCTTACATTAGCGAGTGGTTGAACAGAGCCTCTTTGTTCCTGAAATTTCCGCAATTATAGAAGTAAGTTGTTAACTTTCGGACGGTAGCCTGATAGCCAATGTTTATGCGATCTTTCACTATTGAAGTCGTTGTCAACTGGGGAAGTGATCCTCAATTGAACATGGTATCTGACAAGGCCCCCACGAAAAGCCATGGATAACTGTTCCCGCGGATTCCCAATACAAGAGGTCCGGCATCTTGGTTCCCAACAAAGCTCCGGTACATGGCAAGATAAGCTTCACCAACAAAGCTCGTAAAGTCGTAAACATGCGTCTAAACATTCGTGGTTGGAACATCAAGTTGCAGTGTAATACCGTGAAGTCTAAGCGCGGCAAAAGCAAGTAACTTGAAGATTCCAGGCTTTGTCGGTAACTATCAACAGGGGTGAAATGCTGCAGATTTCCTCTTTGGGAAACACACGATGAAATATACGAGTACTTCGCAATCCTAAGGCATGCCATCGAGGGGCAAAGTTAAGATTCTGACGACGGGAAGGGGGCAGCACTGGGTCCGGGGATTAGGAAATCAAGTCCTCGCCGAAAACACATGCTTTCTTTGACAATATTTGGGGGTATATAGCTACGTACTCGTCCTTGAATTGCCACGAAGGGACCCGAATGCTGCTTATCTCATGAAATATAACTTCCCGAACTGGTGCTCATCGCGAACCAAGTGTTGGATATGTTTCAAAAAGCGCCATTTTGCTGGGTTGAAACTTGAGAGGAAGTTTAATATGTTCAAGACGTTCTATTCAATTCGGCACATAATCTATTGGGAATACCACCTCGTACTTTTCAAGCTGTAAAATATCTTGAACTCCAACAAAACTTGCTTGGAAAGTGCGCGTATGTTATACAGAATTTAACTCATGGACAACCATATCTAAGGTTTCAAAATCACTTGTTATGACGAAAACATCCTTTCCAAGTCTAGGCTTCGCCGGAAGTGAAGGATTCGGCACCAAATGACGAATCATACAATGCTTGAACCTTGGTCAGAGCATGAGATGCGGCGCGGCGATTAACTAACAGCAGACTGCTCGTGTTCTAACGAATCAAATGAGGAGATTCGTAAAGGATATCAAGGCCAGCAATCTCACAGTACTACACTTGCTGTCTTCCTGCAGCGGACAAAAAGGGTTTCGTTTCGCAATTTGTTAACCTCACAGATTGGTACTGATTTGGTTCTTACCACGTGGTATTGGTACGATCTAGTAGATTCCGACTTCAACCCCTAGATTTGCGACGAAATTCAGGCATTTTAAACCTTAGAAAAATAACATCTAAACTTCCCAGGCTGCGAGATGCTGCCCTTCCGCGGCACCATAAGCTCGGCCTAGAGACTTTTGACTTGAAGTGCACAATGTCCACATTTAGGCTCTGTTTACTCACTGACAATTTGACAAAATTATCAAATTGTCAGGATAGTGTAGGGTCTCCCTACGGCCCTAATATAAAGCTATTCCCAAAACTACTTAATTTTCACCGACCTCACTTAGTAAACGCTTAATAGGGACTAGGCACTACTTTTGGCGTATACCTAGGTAGGAGGTCCGTGTTAATTATTAAATTGTTATTATTTAGGTAAGGGAATTCTAATAACTATAAAAATAGGTCTCGACTACTTATATAATTATTAGAATCCCGTCAAAATATAATAAAAACCTAACTTCTACTAATAAACTCTCTTATTTTAGTATAATATAGATCTTATCTTGTTTCCTCTTACCCTATTTAATAATCTATTAGACGATCTTCTAATATTTAGGACAATCTTCGTAGATATTAATAAAAGCGGCCGAAATAGTCGTAAGAGAGCTAAAATAATTAGAGAGTACTATATTTAAGAGTTATTAGAATTAGGCGACACTAAAAGGATTAGGTATTACTTACGTATAGAATTATCGACGTTCTTTACTTTAAGAGACTAGCTTCTAGCTAATATAGTACTAAGTAGTAGAGAGGGTAGTAGTATTAATTAAAGACGATATATCTTAGTAGAAAAGAAGATTATAATCTTTATTTTTATTACCTCTAAAGCTATCTTAAATTATAACGTCGTAGAGATCTTTAGGTACTCTAGTAAATTAATTAGTAAGTATATTATTAATATAAAATAGCGATAGAGCTAATACTTATTAATTTGTAGAGCTTTTTACGATATTTTAGATATACTACTTAAGCTATATATATAGTTCGTTAAATTACCCGATCTTAATACTCTAATTACCTCTTTAATTAGAGATAATTCTAGGTTCTTTTCTTACTTTAAAGATTACCTTAAAGCTCTTAATAGAACCTATATTAAAGCTTATATACCTATAGGGTTCTATAGACTATATCGAAATAGAAAGAGGTATCTCTCTTAGAACGTTCTTATAGTATATAACTTTAATATAAATTTTATTTATATCTTAGCTAGATAGAAAGGATCTATATATAATACTCGAGTACTATAGGACGCTTAATTATCTTATAAATTTATTACTCTACCTAATAAATATTAGCTTAGAGACGCTAGGTATACTAATTCTAAGTTTATAATAGCGCCCTACTATAGCGTATAATATTACCTAGTAGAGAATCGGTTAGTAAGCCGTAAGCTAGAGAACGCGTAAAAGCTTTTTAACTTAAGGTATATAATAATAAGAAATATAGTAGAGAGAATATTCGGTATAAATAAGAGAAAGTTTAAGATCTTAGATACTATTATAGAGTACTCGATTAATACCTAAAACTACCTAGTTCTAGTACTATTAGAGCTCTATAATTTTATCTAATTGTAAGAGGGTAATAGAGTAGATAATTAGGAGAATAAGAATAGTATAGAGCTATAGATCGAGGGTAGTAATAATAAAGAATTAATTAATACTTAAAATAGTAGAGTATAATATAGAAATAAAAAGATAGATAAGTTAAGGGACGAAATTAGTTAGTAGATATAAAAGAATTATTAGTTATATTTAAATAGAGACTTATAGAAAAGTAGCTATTATATATTAGAATTATAGCGAAATTATATAATTCTTAAGGAAAGAAGTTTAATAGCGTTACTATCTAGCGTTACTATTATAATTAGAAGAGGTTATTATTTTAATATTTTATTAATAAGTAAGAAAAGTAATAAATTTAATTATAATATTTAAGATATCTTTTAAACTCTTTACGTAACTAAATTACTCTAATAAAACTAATAGACTAATCGTATATCTTTTTACTAAATAGTAATACGCTTTATATAAATCGTATATATATTTATAGCTATTTTATTACTATATTAGTTTTTAGAATATATCGAGTTAGAAAGAAGAATTATACCTTCGAAGTATACTACTAAGTAATATTCTAATACCTCTTAAAGTATTTCGATAGTTATACTTTAGAATCGTATATCGGATTTTATATAAATATTCTAAGTAATCTTATAAACTAGACGTTAGAAGGCGAGTTTAGAGAGAAAGTAGTCTTTAGCCTTTTAGTAATATTAGATTTCGCGAAGTACTCGAGCTTTAGAGACGTTAGACGTTACTATTCTACGTTAGACGTTACTATTCTACGTTACTATTAAGAATTACTTACTTTCTATCTTTATATAGTAGTTATTATAATATACTTATATCTTTAGAATTCGTTTTAGTTAATTCTTTTTACGTACTATTCTAATAATTTAAAGCTTTAGAACCTATTAGGCGTTACTATTAAACGTTACTATTTCTTAGATAGATAACTTATAGATTAAATACTATCGAGCGTAAAGAGCTCTAGTTTTCTTAGAGAGAGTCGACCTTTATATATTATAAGATAGTATTATAAATTATCTTATTATCTTATAAATTATTCTATTATATTATAAATCCTTCTATTGTATTATAAATTATTCTATTATACTATAAATTTCTAACTCTCGCTTAAATTTCTAATAATAGCTAATTTATAATATAATAGAAGAATTTATAGAAAGTATAATAGTATATTAATATAATATCTCGATTTTTCTAATAATCTTATAAAATATAGGTTCTTTCTATAAAGTTATTAGTTTTCCTTAATAATTATTGTTAAGCTCTATTATTCTAACTATAATACCTACTAGTAACGCTTACCTTTCTAAATACCTTTAAAATGTCTTCTTTCGACGCCCGCTACTAATAAATATACGAAAAAACTACTAAGTTTATTAAGTAAGTAAGGTAGGCCGATTGTTTAGTAAAGTCCCGCGTATAAGCTATCGCGAAATCTAAGCTTAGCTTTAAAAATTTCTCTAAAGCTAATTAAAATACTATAATTAAAGCTATAGAGGATATTATTATAGAGTCTCGCTATAGTAATAACGAGAATACCGATTTAAAAATAACTATTTATATTAATAAGAAAAGTATTAAGCTATAAGCTATTAAAGACAAGGAGATAGAGGAGTTAAAGAAGAACCTAGAAGCTTATATAAGT